AGGCTTCTCTAAATAAAATGATCACGTCGCCTCTGGCATTCTACTCCACTACCCTCAATAACTACCACCACCTTGCAATGGTCACCTGGAGAACCTTAGAATCATATCATTGCAGAGCTGGAAGGGGCCACAAGGGTCATTTAGTCCAAACGCCTGCAAAGCAGGAACCTTTTGTCCAGCGTGGGGCTGGAACCCACAATCCCGAGATTAAGTGTCTCATGCTGCACTGGCTGAGCTGTCCTTTCTAGCTGATGAAAAGTGGAGAGAGACAGGGCTTCTCCTTTGCTGGGTCACAACTGAATGTGTGGTCCCCAGCTGCCATCTCTTCTTCCCAGCAGCAGGTCCAAGTGGAAAGGGCAGGGGGATTGGGAATTAGACGGCAATAATCCACAGCCAGGGACGCAGGTGGCGCTGTGGGTAAAAGCCTCAGTGCCTAGGGCTTGCCGATCGAAAGGTCGGCGGTTTGAATCCCTGCAGCGGGGTGCGCTCCCGTCGTTCGGTCCCAGCGCCTGCCAACCTAGCAGTTCGAAAGCACCCCCGGGTGCAAGTAGATAAATAGGGACCGCCTACAAGCGGGAAGGTAAACGGCGTTTCCGTGTGCGGCTCTGGCTCGCCAGAGCAGCGATGTCACGCTGGCCACGTGACCCGGAAGTGTCTCCGGACAGCGCTGGCCCCTGGCCTCTTGAGTGAGATGGGCGCACAACCCTAGAGTCTGGCAAGACTGGCCCGTACGGGCAGGGGTACCTTTACCTTTACCTTAATCCACAGCCAAACCCAGGAGTTTCGACTTCTGCTGTTAAGTTTTTTAAAGCTGCAACAGGTCTTTTCTAAATGCCTGCCCCCTCACACACACACACACCCAATTTTGTCAAAGTTATAAGCTTCCTAACTACATATTTTGTATGGTTCCAAATATTGTAGTTAAAATTCTTGTGGGTTTTTTTTATTACAGTGGAGAAAATCCATTTGCTACCGTGAAACTCCGACCAACAGTAACAAATGACCGATCCGCGCCAATACTTCGATGAACAGTAACCCTTTTTTACCCTTCCTTGTTAAACACTGTCTTCAGCAATATGATTTTCAAATGCTATCTGAAGTTGTTGTTTTTAAACATTATTTAAATGTAATTAATGTGTACAGTAGCACTGGAATGCTGACCTTTAAAAAATATTTTTGCTTCCTGTATCAGCTAATTATTGATGGGTTAAAATGCTTGAAAAATCTCTCCATATTACAGTGTGCCTTGTTTAGGAAGACAGAATTGTCAAAATAGGGAAGAGGTTTGAGTAAAATGTAATTACCAGCATAATTGATCATTTATTGCTCTGTGCAAGTTGTATTGATAGTCCTATGGGTAAGTTCCAATTATTATTTAAGTTTGCTTGTACTGTTTACTTAGATACATGAATACGCTTAGCCGGTTTTTAAATAGACAAGCCATTTTAAAGATTGCCTTAACATACGATAGAATACTATGTAAAGCAATAGTCTTTGTTTCTGCTGGGTAAGATAAATGTCTTAGATTAAAGTAAGAATAAATATTGATCTTCTGAATGTTCAGAGAAGTGTAATATCCTTAACATGGTTTGCAATATGCCAAAGCACAATATTATACTGTCTTCTTTTAGCAAGATTCTATTGAATAGGACTGATTGATACAAATTCTTTCAGTGATAAATAACTACAATTAGAAATCCTGGCTATTCCTTTGCTGTGTTGTCCCTTTTTCAGGAGCTGTATAAAGAATAATACTTCCAACACTACATATAAAAAGCACATGGATACATTTACATTTTACCTTTTTGATTATTACAGAATAACCAGGTAGCTTCAAGCCAATGTCTTAAAAAGTGGCTAAGGGAATTTTACAGAAAACGAATGTAGATTGACATTCCTCCACCATTTTCAGATGAACATAGCGACATTCTTGTGTCTAAGTGAGGTTGGGAGCACAGCCTGAGAGGCTGTTGTGGGTCAGGGAGTTGAACACACAGGGCCCAAGAGATTCAGTCAAAAATTTTGGCAAGTGTTTGGCATGGTAAAAAAATGAGGGTTATCAAGCCACAAGGCGATCTTAAGTACTTAGCAGATACGTCTACCCTCTCTCTGCTTCTAGGTCATCTTGTATTTACATTTCATCCCAGATTGTTGATAATGCAGGGCAAACCACTATTTTCAAAAGTGCAAGGTAGAAAATGCATTTGTTTATAATTGGATCCGTTCTTGCACATTCAGCATTATAGGTGCTTCTGAGCTTTACACAGAACTCTTCATGCCATGATTCTGATGAACAGTTCTGAAGACTGCATGTTGTTTTGCCTATAAAAGTTGCTCAGTTAAATACCTTGCCTGTTACATATACAAACTATGGAACAAATGCAGTTTTTAAGAAGGGGGCTCTTTTTTTTTAGCTCAAACCTATGTTTAATTTTTACTCAAAACTTAAATCAAAATCTCTGACCATTTGTTTACAAGCTGGGAGGGGACACACACTAGAAGTCATTGTTTTTTATTAAGTTTCATCTTTGAAAATAGCATACCTATAAGAAGCGGAATGCTGTGCTGAGCACCTCTAAGTAAAAGCACATAACGTGAGCGGGACTTTAGATGCAACATGCTTAACTTTCCATCAATCTGCAAAGTCTGCTACTCTAAGATACCATTTCTTTGCTTCTCTATTTGTGGAGGTATTTGGTTACTTACTGGCCTCTTCTACAAGCTTTTAGCAACCACAACAGACAGGGAATGTGCCAAAACAACTGACCTGAACAGTAAAAGGAAAGAGAGTTAATGGCTATAACAAAACATGACTTGAGATTTCAAACTGGTCTATTCCACTCTTCAGCTCTGCAAGATTCAGTTTATGACTGTTTTGGGGTGACTGGTAAAAGGAGGGTGGAAAACAATCTCTCTTATCTCAACATAAATGTTACATGCCAGCTATTTTGCTTCCTAAAGTCAGAAGTTATGTGATCGATTAATTTTTGGCGTTGCCATTTGTATCACATACACAGAGTTTTATAGGCAACTTTGGTAGTCAGCTGTTCTCAGGGTTTCAGCTTTAACTATTTTGGACAGGGCAGGGCTCTAAAAGTGTGGCTGACAATTTAAATCAGACCAGCTGGAGGCTAAGTGGGGATGGGTGAGTGATGTAAAACATCTGAGGTTGGGAAAACAGTTAAAATAGGACCCTGATGTAGAATCAACTCTCCCTATAGCCATAAAGCTCACCGTGTGACTCTGAAACAGTAACTATCTCTTGGTGTAACCTACCTCACAGAACTGTTGTAAAGAGAAATGGGAGTGGGGTAGAATCATATGCTGCTGTTAACTTTGGAAGACAGGATGTAAATGTAACTACCAATGACAACTACATAGAAAAAGTACTATGAAAATATACTCTGTCACATCAAAGATTGGGGAACTTGTGGCCTCCAGATTTTTATCCACAAAATATAGTGAGTTTGGTTTTTGGTTACCCGAAGGGGGGGGGTGTTAATAACTATTTCTTAAAACAGCAGCAACACACAAATAGCTTTTGTATCTTTCAAAAGGAATTTTAGATGGGGCAGGTGAACTCTGATTTCAGTGTTCAATAAGACTAGGTATGTGCAGCCCCTTTGTGTATAAGCAAGTAGTTGTTTGGACTCGTGTCTTGTGAAAACATTTAAAAATTACTTTGGTGCACAAGTAGTTACCTAAGCGAATGGTCTTTTTTGCTAAACCAAATGCAGATGATTAAGGTTGCTTGGGAGCAATCATGTATTTGATCTTAAATACTAGCAGAAGCATCCCAGCAGGTACTGGAAGCCTTCTGTTCATAGTTGTGGCATAACTTCCAGCTGTAGTTCATGTCCAGTTTTCTCCTGGTACGGGGGTAGCCATTCAGAGCAGGGCTAGCCAACAAGGTGCTTTCCAGAAGTTGTTAGCCAACTATCAGGGTTTGTAAGAGTTGTAGTTTATGCTGGCTGAGGCCGATAGGCTCTGGAAAGCATCACATTGGCTGCTTGATTGAGGGCAAGCAGCTTTTATATCTGCAAGGACTAACTAAATCTCTCAGTTTTAGATCAGAACCAGCAGTCCACAAGCATTAATGTGCATGCATGTATTTTTCACTGCCCTGAGCTTCCATGCTTAAGTCTACAACCTTCATTGGCATAGACATTAGGGTTTTTATTAAATATTAAGAGTGCAAAGCACACCCGGTCCCCTTTCCAGAAGCCAAGCTCTGAGCCGGAAGATCTTAAGCTAGATTTAGAAATGGGATGTGTGTCCTCTGGAATATGTGTAGCACTGATAACATCACAAACATGGGATACATATAAGGCTGGACATCTAAGAAGCAGTGTTTGGAGCAAGGCAGGTGCTGAAGATAATGCGCTGGTCAAATAAATGTATCTAGTGGTACCTTGTGACAAGTTCTGTCAAGTATATCCAAAGATGTGGCACATGTCAAGCATTGTGTTAGAACTTGTAGTACTACTCATGAGATGTGTGCATTTCACATGTGAATTAAGGGCAAACCAGCTGACTCCTAGCTCACAGCATTCCTGACACACTTCACATGTTAAACCAGTTTGTGGGATTTGGAGGCTGTTGGTTCATAGAGGAGCAGAGCCTAATCAAGGTGCAGACAGGGTACTTGCACCCCTGTATTCCCAGAAGTAGCTTTTTAGGTATGATGATGCTGAGACACAAATGTATGTGTGTAATGCATAAACTGTGTGTTGTATTCATGCTATATTTTTCATTAAAAAAAACAAGTTGCAGGAAACAAATTTGTGTTTTAATTGTAACCTGCTTTGGGAACAACTGAAGAGCCAACTATAAATTTCAAATTAAATAAAGGTGGAGATGAAATTGGTGGCTTGGTGGTGAGTTCAGACTGCATTTATTAGGCAAAGATGCCTAATAGAACAAGCCTACCTTAGCTTGTGGTGGTTTGCACTGGCGTTACTAAATTTTAATTCACTTTAGAAGAAAGAGCTGGGCCCCAGTGAAGTTGCAAAAACCCACTTTTATTTAAATTTCCAAAAGGTGCATTTTAAACAGAAAGCGGGGGGTAGGGGTGGATTTGTGTCTTTCTTACACACACACACACACACACACACATGCTCATAGATCAGTTTCGCATGCAAGAGAAGAGAAAGAGACAGACTAATTTCATCACACTTTTACAAAATCATCTCTGAAGCGTAAACTTGATTGTACATGACATTTACATTAGAAAAAAGGTACTACAATAGTTACAGCTTCCAAAAAGCCTATTTGTGTTGATCCCTTAACCAAACGTTGCACCGCAGTTAGGACATCTTCGTTGCCTCAATGCAAGACAGAAGAGAATTCCAATAGGAAAGAATACGATGGCACAAAAGACACCGAGACAGGTGAATGTGTCTTCCAATACACCAACTCTGCAAGAGAGAGAAAAAGTAAGTTGCTATAATTGCTCTTTAAAAAGAAAATATATAAAATGAGCACCAAGCTTGACAGAATGACAAACTTTCTGAAGATTGGTCTCTTGCAGCAATACAGTCTATAAAGCTTCTATGCACTTTTTTAATGTCTCTTAGATGATAGAAATATGTTTTCGAATAAACTACCCCTAACAAGTTGCTTTCCACACACGCATCTTCAAAGCTAGCTCACAACGTATTTTTGAATTTTTAGCTACACGAAGACCTTTGCTTAACAAATACAGTGGTGCCTCGCAAGACGAAATTAATTCGTTCCGCAAGTTTTGTCGTCTTGCGATTTTTTTCGTCTTGCAAAGCACGGTGTCGGAAAAGTTTTGGAAAAGCTTCAAAAATCACCAAAGTCTTCAAAAACCTCAAAAAAGGCTACCACACTGCGTGCTATGAGTTGCTCCTCGAAGTCAAGTCGCAACTGTATTAACGGTTTTAAGAAAAAGGAAACAAACTTGCAAGATGTTTCCGTCTTGCGAAGCAAGCCCATAGGGAAAATCGTCTTGCGAAGCAACTCAAAAAACCAAAAACCCTTTCGTCTAGCGAGTTTTCCGTCTTGCGAAGCATTCGTCTTGCGAGGTACCACTGTACTATCGTAACTTGGTTCTCGAATGTAATCCGTTCTGGAGGTCCATTCGACTTTCAAAAACCAAAGCGCGGCTTCCAATTGGCTGCAGGAGCTTCCTGCACTCAATCGGAAGCAGCTTCGAACATTTGGCTTCCAAAAAGTGTTCGCAAACCGGAACACTTCCGGTTTTGCGCTGTCCGGGAGCCAAAACGTACAAGTACCAAGGCATTCGAGAACCAAGGTACAATTCTAGCTTAAAACAGAGCTACTCAAAGTGGTGGTCCCCAAACAACCACTAGCTATGCTAGTCCCTGACCACTCCACCGCAGCCCAGGTTGGCTGGGATGCTTCAGAGACCAAATATGGTACCAGTCCATGGGACATTGGGGGGTGGGGAATTTGCCAGTCCACCACATTGGCTAGCTTTGAAAAGCACTGACTTACAGCACATTTTAAAACAGATAAAACCTTCAATACAAATCAAAATAAAATCTAAAGAATCAAGTTTTTAAAAATACGTGTTTAAACCCTTTGGTTTAAAATTTTATTTCTTGAAGTCAGAAACGTTAATGGACTACAGTAATGCAGCACTTTTTAAAAACTGCTTTTGAATTCCCATTCTCCCTCCCCTTACGAAACAACACTGTATTTTAGCCAAGAGGCCCTGTGATGACTTAGCATTCAATAGCTTTCGAAACTGAGATAAAAGGTCTCCCTTGTTTTGGTCGAGAGGCGGGCGCTTCTGCTGCCAGACCAGATGTTTTGAAGAAACGTCCTTCCAGACATGACTAGAAGCAATTCATGGACAGTCAGACATTACCAAGGCTTACTCTGCATGTTTAAAGTTAGGATGGGAGACGGAGAAGAAAAGAGATGTGGCAATTGTCCCCAAATAGCCCATTACGTAATATGTGCAACAAACGTGGAGTGAGGCTTCTCATCTGCACCAACAAATGAGCTTATTTCCTTTGGCAACTTCTTCGTTTGCTTCCCAGTCCAACGGAGGTCACCTCTCCTAGAGAGAGTTTTTCCAAAGCCGTTCTTAAGAGGCGTGTGAGATTCCTTCAGTCACACAGAAAGCTCACCCTTCACTGATGTCTCAGGAGAAACAGATCCCTCGGGGGGGGGTGTTGCTGGATTTTCATAGTGGGGGGCAGTGGAGAGTTCTAGGCACTCAGAATCCGCTCAGATGGGGAAAGAGATAGCCTCAGCATTTTTACTCTGGGTAAAAGTCACAAGTTTTCTGCCAAGTTTTCTCAAGAGCAGAAGTGGAGCAGTGTTGATTTCATGAAAACAGTGGGCGTCCTTTGGCAATCACATGTGCAAGAAAAGCCAAAAAGAAAAAGAAAGGGAACTGGAGTGACCTTGAAATGCAGATGCAAATGTGTTTCAGCAGGGGCCAGTTGCCAGCAATGGACTCTTGCCATTTCTCCAGTGATGAAAAGAGAAAGCTACACAGAACAATGGCACACAGTTGACAAAAGAGACGGGGGGGGGGGAGAGAGAGCTGGGAGAACGAGCGGCAGGTAGAAGGTCTATGGTGTCCAAACCTTTTTCAAAGAGGGCCAGATTTGATGAAGTGAAGGGCTGACCAAAGTTGTTATCTTTTTTTAGGATTAAAGTTGTGAGCCTTTTTTAGGATTTTAATCCCAGGTTAGGTTTCGGAAAAGGGAAAGTTTATCTGCTCTACCCACTTTTGTCTCAAGTTCTGCCTACCATAGGGACGTGGGCCCCCCCCCAGAAGACTACCTAGAAGGGAATGTGGCCCTCGGGCTGAAAAGGGATCCCTGCCCTTTTCCTAGACCCTAACAGGCTACATTGCTCCTTTGCTGCTAAAGTAGGGCAGCCATTTATGCATCACACCAAAAAAGGGGGACCCAGATTCATATAAAATCTGCCCATGGGTGCAGATGTGCCCAGAGAGGCCTTCCCTGGTGCCCATGAGGTCCCCTTCCCCTCACTGACTTAAAGTATGTACTGGAAACCAGGCATTTAGTGTTGGAGCTCCAGCTCTCTGGAATCAACTGCAAGCCAAAATCAGACAGAAGCCTAGTGTGATTATGTTTCGGTGCCTACTGGATACATAATTGTTTTGGAAAGCTTTTATAGCGGTGTAACCCAGTCATTTTGTGGTTTTTCAGAGTTTCAAGTATGGGTATTTTATACTTTGTGAAACCAATTGAATTATTCTTGCAATTCCCACCAGCCCCAACCCAACAGCTCCAGCATCCCACAACCAGGCTAGCCCGGGGCTCACTGGATTTGCAGACCAAATACCTGGAACTCATCAGGCTGCCAAGAGCTAGACATGAAGCCTAAGGGTGCTGCCCAATGAACACGGTGTTTGGCAGTTGTTTTCAGCTTTCCCACTGCTTAATTGTAGGCTAAACATTTCCTCCCCACACCTTGTCCTGCCTGACGAGTCTCAAGGTGCCACCAGTAGAGAAGCGGACTGAGACGGGCAAGGAGAGGATACAGGAGGAAGCATAAAGGAAGGGGCTAAGTCCCAAGAACAGAGGCTGGAGGAGGTGGGTACCTCCCCCTTCCAGGATGTGGCTCTGCCAGCTGGGGAAACAGAACTCCCATCTCCCTGTTGCACAGCAACAGGATCCAGGAAAAGCATCGGCCCATAATTTGAGGTGGAGGGACCACAGTCCGAAGAGAAGGACACTGACAACTCACCTAGGACCCAGAGACGCTTCTGCTGCTGGGAACAGCTGCATTCTCCCCAATGCAATGAGCATCTGCACACTGCAGGAGCAAGCACACTTTTCTCATCTACAAAAGCTGGGTGTGTGGGTGTGCCAACCCATTGGGACTGCTCATCTCCTTCCATGCAGTTCTGACCTCCTTGCCCTGATCGTGGACTGTTTCAACTCAAGACCACTGCTTCCAGTCCAGCTAGCCTCACGTTTCCTGCCATCTAGCCTGAACACAGCAGCTGCCGTGACTCATTACCTCTTGCTGAGCGTGCATCTTTTCTCTGCCTCAATGGAGATTTCTGTCTTGCACAAGAAGAGCCCTGCTGGATCTAGTCCAGCATTCTGTTCTCATTGGCCAACAAGACATCCCTCAAGCAGGATCTGAGCACAAGAACCCTCCCTCCTCTGACTGTGGAGGCAGAGCCTATAGCCAACATGGCTAGTAGCCCTTGATAGCCTTATCCTCCAAGTTAGTGCCTGTCTCCATGGGCAGGGCAGGAGTCAGGATACTGCCTTAGCTCACTGCTACCCATATAGAGTCTTGGAAACACAAATAACACACTGTTTCCTACATGGGAGTTGCCTCTTAAGATCAGATAATGAAGGAAGGGGAAGCCAGGAAGGGGACAGTAACAGGCTTCATTTAAAGACAGGCTAATCTTAGCTATAAAGCAGTGTTTCCCAACCGGTGTTCCGCGGCACACTACTGTGCCGCGAGACGTTGCCTGGTGTGCCGTGGGAGGGAGGCGGGCGAGTCGCACCCGCACGAGACCTGCTCCGCCGAGAAGCGGGCGAGCGCGGAGAATCGGGCGCGGCGGAGGCCAGCCCCGCGCTTGGAGAGGACGCAGCAGCCATCGCCAAACCCGATCCTCCTCCTCCTGCTCCGCCGCCGTCCTCTGGCTCTCGGCCGGGAGGAGCCTGCGGCGACGGGGCGGGCGCCGAAGTTGGCAGAAGTTGGCGCGCCTCCTCGGCAGCGCCTTCGTCCTCCTCCTCCTGCCTCTGCTCTCCTCCGGCGGCGGGGGCGCGCCGCCCTCCCCGGCCGGGGGCTCGGCGGGGCCCGCGGGGAAGGAGGCCATGTTCGCGGCGCGCGGGATCGCGGCCCCCCTCGCCCGCCTCCGGCCCGCTCCCCTCCCCCTGCGCGCTGCCCTAGCCGTGCGGGTCTCCTCCCCCTGCGCCGCCGTCCCCTTTCCACATCCTAGGAGCCGCGGTCCGCCTACTGCCCCCGGGCCGCGGCACGGCTCCCAGCCCGGGCTGGCCTCCGCCTCCTGGGACGCGCGCCCACCCCCGCGGCCCCCCAAACTTCGGAGCAACTCTCCAGACGCTTCTCCCCCGCCTCGGTCTCCCTCCTTTCCACTTCTCTTCCCCCTTCCTTCCCTCTTTCTTTCTCTTTCTCTCCCACCCGCCTTTCCTTCTATTAACTTTCCTTTCCCCTCCCTTCGTCCTTCCTACTTTTACTCCTGGGCTCCTCCCCCCTTTGCGCAGCCACAAATCAATCTCTCTCTCTTTTTTCCCCTCTCTCTCTTCTTTGCTCAGACGCAAAAAAGCGCCGCTTTTTGGAAATCCGGACTGCTGTCCCCGCTGAAACGATACTTTAAAAAAGGAAGAACCCACTGGCTCTTATTTCTGTTTAAAGCAGTAGATCCCGAACTCTTTTGGCCCACTGCCCCCTTGGTTCCACATCCCCCAGTGTCCCCTATGCTTACTCTATAGAAAGCATTACAGGGGTTAACGCGGCTCGCTAAGGAAGATATTAATAGAATTCTGCATTTGGGGGGAGACCCTAACAGTCATCTACCATTACCTTCTATGCTGTTACTATTTTTTTTTTTTTTTTACATAAGTAAAAAGTGACCTTTCCCCATCTGGCATGGTGGTGTGCCTCGAGATTTTTTTCATGACACAGGTGTGCCTTTGCCCAAAAAAGGTTGGGAAACACTGCTATAAAGTAAGAGTTTGCCTGGAGAACTTAAGCAGCTTTCCTGTGGCTTAAAGCCACGCCACTCCCCGAGGCTCTAAAAATAGGCAGCGTTTATTTATACCACAAGCAGGGGCCCTCACTTAAGCTGCCTGGCTGCTGCTGCTGCTGCTTGGTGAACTATTAGGATTTATTAAATAGTTGTCCGCAACACCTTTGGTCAAATGTCATTGCCCCTTTGCCAAGCCAGTGACAAAGTTCTCAGAGTTAGCATCTCCTACACCGAAAAGAGGGGAATCTTTTCTATCAAGGACTGCATTCCAGGGAGGATGGGGGGGGGGGGGAGATCCGTCAGGGGCCACATGCTGGCGGCCAGGGAGGATGATGCCCATAGAGGCTGGCAGGACAGAAGGCAAGGAGCCCAAGCAAAGCCAATAGGAGGCAGAGGCAACTAATTCTAGTTCTGTCCCCCTCCCTTGCTGAATTCCACAAAAGCAACACTAAGGAGGAATGCCACTTCTTCGACAGGAAGTAGATAAGGCAGCAGACAGGTGAGGGTGGGGGTTGGCAGCACCCCACTTGCCCCAATGGGCCAGCTTCCTCTGGCTGGCAGTGGGGCGGGGGCTACTCCCTTTCCCCTCTTTCTTCAATCACTCCATCTGTTTCAGGTTTCCCTCCTCCTGCTGTCCCTGTGGGCTGGGGAGCAGCTGTGGCTCTGAGGCAGAACATCGGCTTTGCATTTAGAAAGTCCTGGGTTCAGTTCCGAGCATCTCCAGAGAGCACCTGGGAGAGAACCTTGTCTGAAATCCTGCAGATCCGCACCACCTGTTCATGTTGACTGTACTGAACTAGATGGACCAATGGTCTGACTCTGTATAAAGCAACTTCCAATGGCCCATCTGGTCAGTCTAGCACCCTGTTCTCACAGTGGACATCAAGATGCCTGTGGGAAACCTGCAAGCAGGATTTGAGGACAAGAGCCCTCTCGCCTCCTGCGGCTTCCAGCAACTGGTATTCATAAGCATGTCTGACTCAACTGCGGAGGCAGAGCATAGCCGTCATGGCTAGTGGTCACCAACAGCCCTCTCCTCTTCGCCTCTTTACTCCATACAGCCGCAAGGGAAAAAGAGATGCCTTCTCTCTACAACAGGGGTGAGAAATCTGTTTCCCAGCCTGTACTGTTGGAAGCCAACTCCCATCATCGGGCCCAGCCAGCATGTCCAAAAGCCCCAGCTGATGGGAGTCTGAGTCCAGCAATATCTGAGGGGTAAACAAGTTCCCCACCCTCTGGCTCCACAAAGATCATCTCATGACACTTGTGATTCCCTCCTATCCTCTGCAAACAAAAAACACCCTCTTGATACTTCCCGACACAGATCATTCAACATTTCATGTTCCTCTCCAAATTCCCTTTTACTTTGATCTGAATAATTATAAAACAATGTCAGCTGCGAGTCTGTCCCCCCAGAATATTTCACGGCCGGTCAGGCATTTTGCACCTGTGGCGCATTCAGACATAGGGATATACTGTTTGTTTTCCTGATTATAATGCTAGCACCTCTGTCCTGTTTCTAATGTTCTTTTCACACTGCACTACCTGTTGTGTTATGGGACTGGGGCTTTCTGGCCAAGACACTGGCATTTCATTCACGCCACTGGTCATGGTGTGACAGAACAACAAACTTCATTGGGCAACGTTGGGCATCCATTTCCACACATGGCTGCTTCTGCTCCCCCACAAAAATGGCACGGAAGAACTTCAGTCCAGGATGCTGCCTTGAATTTTGTCATGTCACTCCTGCCATTTTCTGGGTTAAGGGGGATGCAAAAGATTCCCCCCCCCCTGGAAACTAATAACACATCCTTCAGTGGACAACATAAAGTCAGAAGGTAGGTTTGGAAAAAAGTAATAATACAATAAAAAACAAAGTGGTCAGTTTATCACTAGGCTGGATACTCCAGGCGTGCTTGGCCTTTTGCCTCTGGTCTCGAAAAACACCCTGACCTTGCTTTTCAACGCTGCTAACGAATAAGCCAATTAAAGTCATGATCTTTGCAACGTGGAATCCGCTGGCTAAGGACTTGACGGGTGCAAGCTGCTCCTTGCTCAGCAGCTTCGACATCTTGGTCCAGGCACTTGTGAGTGCTGGGATAAAACTCCCACCAGCCCCAGTCAATTTGACCAATGGCTGGGAACCATCAAAGTCCAGTTACGTACTTGCCTGGTCTGAAACATTTCGCTCCCCTGAGAGAAAGGATTATTTGCTGTCTGGAGCAAAACGAACTACTGTTACAATAATACAACATCACTATTGCATTTACCACCTGTATTTATTAAAACAGTTCGTTACGATCACAACTGGAGTGGGTCCAAAAAAATATACAGCTCAGGTGCCAAAGGCCAGCATAAAGAGGCACATCTTCAGCTGTATAGTGAGAGTGCCAGGCACACCTTGGGGTGAGGAAGAGAAATTCAAGAACTATGGGCTGCTGCAGAGAATGCCTTCTCTCAGATCACCACCTTCCAAACTTCTGAGGGAGGTAAGAACTACCAAGAGGGTCCGCTTTGCTGATCTTAACTCCCAAAAGGGCCTCTGCAGGAGGAGGTCTTTCAGAAACCTGGGGCCTACAACATGTATAGAAGCAGATTGGGTGGGCTGTTGGATCTTATATCAACACTGGTGAAAAAGAAAAATCTTCCACTGCCACCTGAGGGCAGGAGGCTAGTTACTGGAAAACAGGACAAGCCACACGGCATACACAGGTCTGTTGTCCAATAGAAGGATCTGTCCAAGGAACCCTGGGAGCAGCCATTTTGTATTCTGCCCCACCCGCACAGCAGCCATTTCCTGACAAGAAGAATGCTACTTTTTCATTTAAAAAAAAATGAAGGGGGAAGAGACTCTAATCTCTCTTGCTGCAAGCCTCCCCCCTCCAGCTTCACATGGATTTTTAAGAGGCCGTACTTAAAAAGAGAGAAGAGGTGTAACAGAAATGAGAACGCTCCTAATACCTGCAAGCTGGGCAGCCGCCAACGACAACGACGGACGTGGTGGGAGGTTGCTGGATTATCGTGTACGTGGTGTTGGGGTAGTTATGCGCCGGTGGACCCGAAGGCACAACATATCCTGGTGGGGGAAGAAGCAGAAAAGGAGCACGTTAAGTTGCTTTAAAAACATTTTGGAAATGTAAGAGGCGAGGCCATAGTTGTCGACATCCGTCTGCCTTGAGAGACAATGGAGTGTGTCTCCGGGGGTGAAGTCAAACCACTGTGTTAGCCGCACCGAAGTGACCTCTCCGGGGTGCAAACATGGGCAGTATGTATGGAGGTCCTGGGCTGCCCAGATGAGAAGACCCACACCCACCCACCCCTCTGAGCCTCGCTGATGTGGTCCAAAGGGAAGCAGAGTAAGACGTTTGGCACCAGAATGGCTGCAGGAGTTGCCAGGAGGAGGCACACAAGGTGCCAGCCAACCATCTTAGAGACCTCACTCTGGCTTTGTGTATGGCTTACACTCCCTAGTGTAATGGAAAGCGTAATGCCGGTGGTCAACAAAAGAGGTTTAAAGACAGTCTCAAGGCAAATCTTAAAAATGTAGTATAAACACCAACAATTGGGAAACACTTGCCTGCAAGCGCTCCGACTGGAGACCAGCCTTTACCAAAGATATATAGCCTTTGAAGACACTCAAACTCAGGACGCAAGGAAGAAACATACTAAGAGGAAGGCACGCTTGGCAAATCCACACCGTGATCAGCTCCCGCCTGGAAACCAATGTCCCCACTGTGGAAGGGCGTGTGGATCCAGAACTGGCCTCCACAGTCACTTACGGACTCATTGTTAAAATCATGTTTATGGAAGACAATCTTACTCGGCTACGAGTGATCGCCAAAGAAGATGACACTCCCTAGACTTTTCTTCTCCTGAAGATACTCCACCAAGGCAGTGGAGATTTAGGATCGGAGTTTTCCTTCTCCTAGATGGGCTCCTTCCCAAGTAGCCAAGTTCCATTTCCCCCTCTACACAGCACATGTGGAAACTGCCTTCTTGACCATTGGACCCACTATTGGTCTCATCTGCTCAATCCACCAGCGCATGTCTTCGCATGCAGGCGACGTCCCTAACTCACCGAGGGTTTGGGACCCATCAGATGGCTACCCTCACTATAGTGTTGCCAGACACAGGGAGCACTAGTGTTGTGGTTGCAAAAGTTAAAGGAGAATCCTCTTTTTTTCTTGGGAACATTACTCTTCCAGTGTCTGGATTCAGGTCAAGTCACATTTTTGTTTACTCAGGGGAGAAGTCAGTCAGCTGATTTTTTTAATGGGGGGGGAGCATGCAAAAAGAGACTGTACAGAGACTTTAAACAAACAGAAACTGTTTGCATGTAGAGACATACCTCTCCTGAATTCTCTTATCTATTAGTTACAGAAATTGCTAAGCATTTTCTGAATGCTGCTCTACAGTTCGCCCCATGCCTTCCGAACACCAACACTTTCTTTTTAAAAAAATATATTTTATTAAATTTCCACAAATTTCACATAAAATTCCAATACATAATTTTTTCTTTTGTTCTATTGATTTCCCGTCCCATTTTTGGTGCTAGTTTTTTTTAAAAAAAAATTCATCCCGTTATTGCACCCAATCTTCATTCTTTTATATCATAACCATAATTAATCTCCCTGTGTTCTCACTATTCAATGAAATAAAAATATTTATATAAACTGACACTGTATATTACATAAATTAAATAAGGTAACTTATAACATGTGAGAAGTACTGCACATTGTATTTAATTATTACTAGTAATATTTAATATTACTATCAAAAAATAAACTATGGTTCGGTGTGATGTCTGAACGCAGAGTGTTTTTATTATTGAAAAACACTATTTATTTCAGGCATTCCTATCTATTGAATAAAGTCAGCTTTCCAAAATGATTAAATGAGCCAAGGGTGGGGGAAGTGAAGGACAGATCTGTGTTAACACAGGCAATAAATAGGACAGTGGGACCCTCCCCAAGCCTTGCTTCCAAGAGACCACATAGCTGATAAATCTTTATGGATTGGTATTTTTGTGGATTCATTCTTTCTCCCTCTTTCTCTCTCACGTGCTTCCTGGCACTCACTCACGCTCTCATGCACTCATCAAGATGGAACTGGGACAAAGTATTCCAGATAAGACTTAATATTCACCATATGCAATAGCAAACCGTTCCTAGGTTTCAGTTCTCCTCCGTTTTCAGGCCTACGGACGTACACTCGGCTAATTATTAACTTCAAAGAGCATACTTTAGCACCACGGAAATGGCAAAAGAAAACCTACAGTTTGAGAACTCAGCCAAGGGTCCCAGTTCCCAGCCAAGAAAATGGATAAGTGCTTTATAATAATTAAAGAAACAGCCCACCTCCTCCTGCTTAAAAAACATCACGCAGCCAGGATCTCACAGGCAAGATGGCTGTGCCACAGGTGTCACTACTCACTACTCACACACCCAGCCCTGGGGCTTTTCACGTGGCCATCAGACATTGCCATCAACATGTGGGGCTACCTGGAATTAAGCTCGTTTACCCGCTGTGACCCCCAAATAACACCCCCCCATGGAGGTTAATTATCAGCATCACTCTACATTGGGAGCCAAGATCTGTGGCCCTCCAGATGTTTGCTGGACTACAACTCCCATCTTGCTTGACCACCAGCCATGCCGGCTGGGGTGGATTGGAGTTTGGAGCCCAACAACATCCAGAGGGCACCGGGTTGGGGAAGCCTGCTCTGCCCTCCATAGGCATGACACATGTTCAGTCCTTACTGTGGTGTTAATGGAGTGTTTATTAAATTCATATACCGCCCTTCATGCCCTCTTTGGAATAACTTTTTAAAAGTTAGGTTTTTGAAAGCCTCAGGATTCCCTCAAGTCTCTTTGCCAGCTCCCCTCAGTTTTGACTACCACACCACCCAAGTTCACTATTAGAAAGATTTATTTTATTTAAAGGAGGGGTGAGGAGCCATCAATCCACAGGCCTAACTAGGCCCACCAGTGAGGTCCATTTGGCCAGTGAGGCTGTTTTGTCCCCGCCTGCCTGTCAAATATGGCAGAGTGGCAATACAGTGGTATGTTGGTTTTCAAACAGCTTAGTTCTTGAACAACTTGGAACCCGAATGCTGCAAACCCGCAAGTGACTGTTCTGGTTTGCAAACTTTTTTTCGGAAGCCGAGCATACTCCGTTTTTAGTCTTCCACTTCTGATTAAAGTGTTCTTCTTCATGTTTGAATTTTCCGTTTCTGATTTGAGTACCCTGCTTCCAATTAGATATTTAGAGCTTATATTTGGCGCTTTTGTTTTTGATATGCATGTTTTTGTTTGTGCGGCTATTTCGGTTAATTTTGTTTTTGTGACTGCATAGAACCCAGTTGAGCTACTGATTACGTTGATTGTGTGACTGCAGAAATGGATAAAAGCTGCAAAGCCAAGAGAACTATTAACCGAACAACCATAGAGGTAGTAAAATTCATGTTAAATTTCTGTTTTGGGGGTTGAAGTCTGGAACGGACTAATCCCTTTTGCATTACTTTCTATGGGAAAGCACACCTTGGTTTTAGAACGCTTTGGTTTTAGAACGGACTTCCGGAACAAATTAAGTTTGGGAACCAAGGTACCACTGTACTCCGAATGGTTTAACAGCCGCTCTCTCCGCAGAGATTGCTCCAAGCCATTCTGGCATTCAGGTCACTTTGCCTGACTGGACTGTGCCCCCTGCACTCTGCTAACACCTCTTCCTTGGCTGTACAAAGGTGGACATTCGTTGCTCAACCCACTCTTGCCTCTGACCCCACCCACAGTAGCATGCGGCCCCCCAGAAGGGAGTGGGCGGCCCTCAGTTCTCAGGTCACTCAGGTTCCAGAACGTTTTTCCCATCCACCCATCCTCCTTAACCACAAGCTGAACTCCCTACGGGGTTACTAAAGAAGCATGAGCTCATTACCCTTTGAACTCGAACTGGAATTTTTGTCCCAAAGCACCCTTTCCTGGGCTATTTTTTACTGCAGCTATGAGTTGTTGCAAGGGAACAAGATAACCTTTCCTTGAAGCTGATGTTTCCATCAAGGAAAAAATGCTTCTTACAGGCACGCAAGCCTCAGATATGTTGTGCTTTGGGGTGAGGGGTTGTGGCTGAATACATTCCCCACTCCCCCAGCTTCATGGAATGCAAGTACAGTAGAACCTCGGCTTACGCTCAGGTAACGTAAACTTCGGGTTGCGAAAGCGGCAAACCCAGAAGTATTCTTTTTGCCGCATGCGCAGAAGCGCTCTACGCACCATGCGCAGAAGCGGCACCTCCAGTTGCGGAAACCTCAGGATCCGACCGGAGCTCCGGAATGGATCCCATCTGCAATCGCAAGTTTCACAAGAACCTACTGGGTGATGCCTGTGACATCACCTTTCTGGGGTCACGTCCCCAACTCCAAGAAACACTTCAGCATCTAAGTGCTCCCTCATTTTACCGCTTTGAAGAATGTTGTAGTTTGTAAGAAATGCAAGCCAGCTCAAGGGGGAAAGCCAAGAATAAAATATAAAATACTGATAGATGCGAAAGAGAGATGAGCTTTTTCCCTCCTGGATGAGATTATATTATGAAGCATCTTGTCTGTGCTGGTTGAAGGAATGGTTGACATTGAAAAATTCGCATATTTTAGACTTAGGAGGTCATGATATTTTTGGTTGGCACGCTTATTTGTGGTATGAAAAGATGAAAGTACATAAAGGATTTACAAACCATGTAATCAGGGGAAATTTGTATAGACTATGGGATAAATATAAAAATTTATTGGAGACAAAAACACCACTTTGGCTCTCACCATTGCAAGCCATAGCTGTAAAGAAAAAGATTATGATGGAAGGTTGGTCAACTTATAGAAATTTATTAAGAGAGGAGGGAAGAGAGTTCAAATTTAAAGAATTTGAGGACTTATCAGGAATGTTAACAGCATGGATAGAATACCATCATTTGAACGAAGTATTTAAGAAAGACAAGAAATGAGGGTTTGGTGAACAAATGTCACACTTGGAGAGAGACCTTTTAGAATGTAATGTTAAAGTGCTGTTTTAAATGTGTAAGATATTATTGGAATGGGAGACAAACGATGAGCAAATAAAATCTTCAATGATACATTGGGCAATAGATATTGGTTATAATATAGATATGGAAGCATGGGATCAATTGTGGAATATGGATATAAAATTTACAGCATGTTATGGTATAAGAGAAAATTACATGAAAATGTTATATAGATGGTATCTAACACCTAGTAGATTGGCAAAAATGTAAGAATAGAAGTCGAATAAGTGTTGGAAATGCAAAGAGAAAGGTACTTTTTATCATATGTGGTTGTCTTGTTAAAGCTTACTGGGAAATGATATAAAATGAATTGAAAAAGATGTTTAAGATAGCATTTGTTTTAAAAAACCCAGAAGCTTTTATCTTGGGAATTATAGGTGCAAAGGTAAAAGGCAGGTAAAGGACCCCTGGACAATTAAGTCCAGTCAAAGGCAACTATAGGGTTGTGGCGCACATCTTGCTTTCAGGCCAAGGGAGCCAGCATTTGTCCGCAGACAGCTTTCCAGGTCATGTGGCCAGCATAACTAAATTTATTTATGTATGCAACTACAGCTGCAAGAATGCTACATGGCCCAAAATGGAAAGAAGTCCTAATGAGAGAAGAAGTGATACAAAAACTTATGGACTATGCAGAAATGGCAAAACTTACCAGAAGAATAAAAAATCAAGATAATAAATTTTTTGTAAAAGAATGGAAATGGTTTATTGAATATTTACAAACAAGTTGTAAACAGATAAAGACATTGGCAGGATTACTGTAACCTGCAGTTTCAAAAGAAAATATAATTAAAATAGATGAATAAAACAGTAAGTTAATTTAGAATGTGCAGGAAATGATAAAAATAAATTTAAGGAACCGCAGAAAGAGGAGGAAGTCGAGGTTTGAAAAGTTACAACTATTGTTAAACTATTGAAATGTATATAAACGGAAACTATAAATAAAATTATAAAAAGAGAATAAATGCAAGCCAGCTAAACAGCCCGCTCCACACCAAACTATATTATCTCTGCCATTTTAGGGACTTTTAAAAACCAGTGGCCCCCCAGACATTGTAGACTACAACTCCCATCAACCCTATCATCTCCCTCTTCTCCCTCTGACCACTCATTGCTGTCCTACCACCACTCCCCGGGCTCTGAGCCTTCTTGTTCCCTAGTTGGTTCCTCCCACCATTCCTCTGGTCCTTGACAGGCTGGGAAGGCCGCATTTGGCCCCTAGACCTGAGGTTCCCCATCCCTGCTAAAAATAATAAATATGCTGCCTCTGAACCCAGAGTTTCAGTGCAGCCATCATGACCAGGAACCAATGGTAAGGGGGATCAGAGGTAGTGGAAACCCGTGAGCCTGTTAAGACTCCCACTCCCATCAACCTCAACCAGTATGGCCAATGGACAGGGCTGGTGGGAGTTCTAGTCCAGCGGAATCTGGACCCCCAGAGGATTCTAGAATTCTAAGAGTTCTCTAGAATTGTTGGACGAATAAACCATAACAAGGCCTTGCTGAGAGAGGGCGAGTGGAATTCTACCACCATAGAAAAGGCTATCGTAATTCGGAACCTGACCTAAACAACGCAGGTTCTTAGGAAGACTCAGGACTCAATTCTGGGAGACTCCAAGTTCAATTCACAACCTTCCAACTCTGGTTCCTTTTGTTTAACACGTCTGACCAACTCACAAGGCTCTGGCATATGTGCAATGTAAAGAGCTACAAACAAAACATTTCTATCGTACGGCCGGGGGGGGGGGGGAGGTATCTAAATTACATATATTTTGTACCTACTATTCCCCCAGACAGTATTAAGCTTTTTATTAAAAATATCATATTAAATGTTTTAACTGTTTTGGAAGCCTTTTCAATCAGCGTAGCCGGGCTGGCTGGATTTTTGCACTGTCCAATTTTTAAGAGGGAAAACAGAAAGGGAAAGCAGACAAGCCTTTCTGAGCTGCCTTTGTAAGGCAGGAAATACAGCTTGTTTTTTTAAAAAATATAAAAACAACCCCTGGAATGTTTAGCTTGGGAGCTCTAACAGTAACTGGAAGAAATCCTGCTTCTCGTGTAACAGCTTCTGGACTGTTTAAAATCTTAAATTTGAAGCCTTAAAATTATTATCTAGAAAAGTATGTTGTGAAATAACTAGCACTTTTTATTGTATTGTTTTAAGGCTGATGTGTTTGCCACAGTGGGCTCCTTTGGGAGGGAGGGTGGAATATTACTTTAATAAATAAATCTTTCTACAGAAAACTACCATTCCTGGGAACCAGTATACGAGTCCCCACTCTTGCACGCAGTGGTACCTCAGGTTACATACGCTTCAGGTTACCGACGCTTCAGGTTGCAGACTCTGCTAACCCAGAAATAGTACCCGGGTTAAGAACTTTGCTTCAGGATGAGAACAGAAATCGTGCTCCGGCGGCACGGCAGCAACAGGAGGCCCCATTAGCTAAAGTGGTGCTTCAGGTTAAGAACAGTTTCAGGTTAAGAATGGACCTCGGGAAGAATTAAGTACTTAACCCGAGGTACCACTGTACTTTTATTTTTAAATAAGGTGTAACTGATCCAAGAATAAGAAAAATGTTTCCTAACCCAAACTTTTCATATTTTTTTTTAAGGCAGGAAACTTCCTCAAGTGTAGGGCTTGATGATTTGCATAACCCTGAAATCCCGTTTCCCCTTCTTGACATTGCAAAAGTTCTCCTGCTGACAGCTGACAACATGCAACAAGAGCAGCGTTTCCTATCGCAAGAACTACCCACTTAGCCTGGCTTGGGCGCCCAGCCCCTGGGACTCCTTTCCCAACACCCAGGGGCGCGGGAGGGTCAAGCCTGTCTCCTGCCCTGACCACGTGACCCGCCTTCACCCACACCCCTCCCACCCCAAACCTCTGTCTGCTGCGGCCGCCAGCGCGCGGTGTGGATGGAGACAGGCGAGACCCCCGGCGCCTTGTGGGGCTGCAGCCCCCCATCTCCCAGTGCTCTGAAACCTGCCTCACTCCTACAGGTTCAGGAGAGGGGGTGATCCTCTCTATTAAACGCCCCTCCCGCAGAATCCACACCCAGATCCTCCTTGCCCGCCCCCCTTCTCCCGGCTTACCAGCTCCAGGACCGGTGGGGTAGGTGTAGGGCGGCGGCGGCTGGAAGCCGGGCTGGGGCGCCGGAATGGCCCCGTAGCTGTTCGGCCCGTACTCGTAGCCGGCGCCCGCTTGGCTAGCGGGGCTGTAAGCCGGGGGTCTATCCTGGAGGAGGGGCTTGCTGTCCATGATCCTCGAAGGGGAGGGCGGCGGCGGAGGCTGCTCCTGGCCGCCCCCGCCGGGGGATCAGCCGCGAGGAGAAGCCCGCAAGGCAGGCGGGAGAGCGCGGAGGGGCGCGCAACTCTCCGAGGCGGAGAGCGCACGGCAGGCTCGGCGCGGTGGAGAGGGAGGGCGGGAAGGGAAGGCAGCCTCGCCCCCGCTAAGCCGGCAGCTCCAACAGCAGCAAGCCGCCTTCGCCCCCGGGGCATGGACGGATCCTGCCCACCCGCGCCAGGAACGCACCCGCGCAACTCCGGAGCTGCACGGCGCGCCCGCCGCGGCAATGTGCTTCGCTCCTCGCAGGCCAGTCACAAGACTCGGGCTCACGTGACGCCGAGGAAGAAGAGGAGGAGGAGGAGGAGGGAAGAGGAGGCTCCCCCGGCGGAGACACGGCGGAGACTCCGGCAGGCACAGGGAAACCCCCTCTTAAAGGAGACGCCCCGGCGCGCATGCATGTGTGCGCGCGCGCGCACTCTCTCTCTTTACGCAGCTGGCCGAGGGGGTTCCAGGGCAGGGTGAGAGCCAGGCGGGGGCCGCCCCGCTCAGGGGCAGGAGGAGGGCGGAGGTGGGGCAAGGGCTGGCAGGCCGCCACGTTTTGAAATAAGCGAGAGGAGGCGCATTCTCCCTCGCCAGTCTAACTAGATAAGAGGTTAAGGCCTATTGGATGCAGTGGGACTCCTGGGCATAATAATAATAATAATAATAATAATAATAATAATAATAATAATAATTATTATTATTATTATTATTATTATTATTTATTTATTTATTTATTTATACCCCGCCCATTTGGCTGGGCTTCCCCAGCCACTCTGGGCAGCTTCCAAAAAAATATTAAAATACTGTAATACATCAAACATTAAAAGCTTCCCTAAACAGGGCTGCCTTGTGCTCGGAAACGTACTGGGAACCAATGTAGGTCTTTCAAGACCGGTCTCGGCGGCCGCTCCCAGTCACCAGTCTAGCTGCCGCATTCTGGATTAGTTGTAGTTTCCGGGTTAGCCCCACGTAGAGCGCATTGCAGTAGTCCAAGCAGATATAACCAGAACACGCACTACTCTGGCAAGACAGTCTGTGGGCAGATAGGGACTCAGACTGAGTAGCCAGCCTCCATCCCGTAATGTCCTCTTTATGGGGTGGTTTCATTAAAAAAAATAAATCAACAACTTTGATTCCCTAAAAAAAGAGCCCCCTGCAACAAAATTCCTGGCTATGCCCATGGTGAAACCGCTTACTCCTAGCATAGGCAGGATTTATGTGGGGGGGGGACACGCAGGACACCCACCTGTCCAGGCGTGCCAACTTAACTAAAATATGAGGGGCGCTCAGGTAAGCCCCGCCCTGTGTAATCAATCACATGACATGGTGCAGGCACACGATTCAAATAGCAATGCCCATGACCTTTGCGGGCGGGGGGGGCTTTCTCAGATATTTCATTAAGTGGGGGGTGAGAGGATCTATGCACCTATCATCAGTGGAATGAATGATTCAGAATGGAATGTCTCAAGAACAGTTTTAAATTACTTTTAAAAGACAACTGAAGGCGGCCCTGTTTAGGGAAGTTTTTAATGTCTGACGCTGTATTGTTTTTAATACTCGGTTGGAAGCCACCCAGAGTGGCTGGGGAAACCCAGCCAGATGGGTGGGGTATAAATAATAAATTGTTGTTGTTGTTAAAACTACACTTTTTCGAGGAGAAGTTCAGGTCTCTCTGTTGTCCCCTGCTGGGGAAGTGGGTACCTTTTCAGGTCGGTCACCCTCTTCCTTTCGTTTCTCTCCATTTTCCAGGTAAGTCTTCTGTGCCTTTGCAAAACAGGGTGAAAGTCAACAAGTGCAGCTTCCCAACCATGTCCTGCAAAATTGCAAGAGGATTGCTGCACCTTGCCAATTTGTAACTCTCTGTAGCAAGAACAGGAAACACACACGCCCTTTGCTCTGCTGCCTGGGCGCTGATGGGTGGGGGACCACATTCATATTAGCTGCTCCCCCCATCATTCCTGACAGAGTCTGGACCTTTGTCTGACAGGTTGACATTCATTTAGTGAAGTCCTCTGTCAATGGAACTCCAGGCTGGCACAAGGCTACGGCGGCTTTATTTCTGTATTGTGATTCTCCCGTGGGGGTGGGGGGAGGCCTCTTCAAGGGGGGGGTGCTGATTCCCCTTCTGCCTGGGAGCCCCCACCATTGGCAGTTTCTTTCTGCCCTCTCCATATATTCCAGCAGAGCACACAGTGTCCTATTCCCCAAGGTTAAAGAACAATTAGCTCCCTATTAACTCAGTGCCTCTGCCCCCCCCACTTACATTTCCTTTCCTTCTCAAATAGCTTTTTTAAAGAGCCATATCAGGGTCTGTCTCTCGATTTCAGACAATTCACCCACGGGAGTTTTATACTTTATTTATTTGTTCCTAGGGGTATTTGTCAACTTCCAGCTCTTAAGTAAAATATTGCAGAATGGTTTTTATTCCAAGTGATTTGTAATCAATGAAACTTCTATAAATTTGTGCACAAGTAAATTCACTTAAAAAAAAAAGATTTCTATTTATTTAATGACTCAATTTGTTGTTGTTTAGTCGTTTAGTCGTGTCCGACTCTTCGTGACCCCATGGACCAGAGCACGCCAGGCACCTCTGTCCCCCACTACCTCCCGCAGTTTGGTCAAACTCATGCTGGTAACCTCGAAAACACTATCCAACCATCTCGTCCTCTGTCGCCCCCTTCTCCTTGTGCCCTCCATCTTTCCCAGCATCAGTGTCTTCTCCAGGGAGTTTTCTCTTCTCATGAGGTGGCCAAAGTACTGGAGCCTCAGCTTCACGATCTGTCCTTCCAGTGAGCACTCAGGGCTGATTTCCTTAAGAATGGATGCGTTTGATCTTCTTGCAGTCCATGGGACTCTCAAGAGTCTTCTCCAGCACCATAATTCAAAAGCATCAATTCTTCGGCGATCAGCCTTCTTTATGGTCCAGCTCTCACTTCCATACATCACTACTGGGAAAACCATGGCTTTAACTATACGGACCTTTGTTGGCAAGGTGACGTCTCTACTTCTCAAGATGCTGTCTAGGCCTGTCATTGCCCTTCTCCCAAGAAGCAGGCGTCTTTTAATTTCGTGGCTGCTGTCACCATCTGCAGTGATCAATAGCAGGGGGCATTTGGAGGGCTGTTCTAGGAGGGAGTCCCCATCTCCAAAGAGGCATTCTGTCCTTTGTGATTAACTAAAACCACAAATTAATTAAAAAATAATGTTCGGTTAATTAACGCCACCCTTTTTAACTGAACAGAAAATAATGGATTAATCTTAGCCGATTGATCTACTGATGTTTCAGTCCAATAGAGACAGCTCAGGGTGCCAGTGTAACAGATTAGGACCTAGGAGACCAGGGTTCAAATCTCCACTCACCTATGGAGCTTGCTGGCTCTCAGCTTAACACACCTCACTGGGTTGTTGTGGGACTCAAATGAAGGGGAAAACCTTGTAGCTCCTTGGAGAAAAAGGTGGGCTATAAATGCAATTAGCAAACAATGGCTTATATTACTAGTGCCACATTATATAGCTCAGTTGGTTAGAGTGCGGTGCTGATCGCACAAAGGTTACAGGTTCGATCCCCATAAGGGACAGCTGCATATTCCTGCGAGATGATCCTCAGGATCCCTTCCAACTCTATGATTCTTTGATTCTTTTGAATCAGAAGGGATAGCACCTCCCATCCTCCCTATTGGCTAGAACCAATGTGAGCTGCAGTCTGCAAAATTTGTTGATGTGGTTTGAGTTGAGAAAGTGGCCTTTCACAGGACAAAAGCAGATAACAATTATTTATTTATTTATTTATTTATACCCTGCCCATCCGGTTGAGTTTCCCCAGCGGCTTCCCCTGGGCGGCTCCCAATCAAGTGTTAAAAACAATACAGCATTAAATGTGATTAAGAGAGCAACATTTGCTTATTCAAGTGTCTGCCCCATTCACATATAAACTGAGCACCTGGAGTCCATTTGTATTGCTGTAATAGTCACACGAGGGAAAAGAGCTGAACCCCCTCCCCTTATCCCCTTGCAGTCCAATGGTTCACACATATTTGGGGGGGCACTCACAAGCAGCCCCAAACTCAAGACTCCCCATTATACGTCCTTAGAATACATTGTTCAGATATACAGCCTCTGAGCGTGGAGGCTCCACTTAGCTCTCGTGACTAATAGTCCTTGCTGGACCTGTTCTCTGTAAGTTTGTTCTTAAAGGCCATCCTTCCTCTGCCTAGTAACAAATGTAGGTGGCTGGCAGAAACTGAGCCCGAATCAGAGCAAACCAGAATCGGCATGCTTGGCAGAACCCTAACTTCTTTTTTTTTTTTTAATATTTTTTATTGCGTTTCTTTCCATAGGTTCACAAATTCAGAAGCATACAAGAGTAAGAAACAAGAAACAGATTATAAAGATAAGAGAAAATAAAAAAGAATAGATATGTGTCAGATCATCTTTCCATAATTTATCACTGCCAATTGGACCTCCTCACATCTTCCAGACCTTGCGTTCTTTGCAATAACAATGTCAGCAATTTGTTACCTTATTTCGCAACTTACTGTAACTTTCAATTATTATGTTTCCAAATTCAGAATGTTATAACTCAATTTTAGTACCTTTAAAATAAACATAATATATTTGTTTCACATTGTCTCCTCTTTGGCAGAACCCTAACTTCTGCAGAAGTACAATAAATATTTGGGACCGCGAGGGCCATCTAGTACCAACTCCCTGCAATGCAGGGAGCCCCATATTGTCTGTTCTGACTGGCAGCTCTCCACAGCAACAGGAAAATGAATTTTTGCTCCCACCTACTGCTTGATCTGTTTTAACTGGATGTATAGCTGGATTCAACCTTCGGCATACAAAGCATATGCTCTCCTGTTGAGTTATGGGTCTCTCCCTAAGCCCATCACACACACATACCCTTTTCAGACAGGCTCGTCCTTTGTCATCTTTCATCAGCAGGAAATGTTCTCATTTCAAGGAAAGCAGCCTAGTCTGCTTAGAAAGGAAAGGGCGGGGAGACAGTATCAATTCTGCTTTCAGAGGCGGCTGCCATCTGGTCACATGCCAATGGATTATCAAATGGAATCCTTTCTCCCCTCCTTATTAAACCTTGCGTGAAGTTAAATTACTTGGCAGTCACACAGAACGGTGTAGGGTGGTGTGTGGAGGTGGAAAACTGTGACTGGGATGTTATGAACAGGGCGAACGGGGTGCTATGAGCAGGAACCAAAGTGCATTTAATTTCCCCTAGACTTTGAGGTGCTTCTCTCAACAAAGCTTGTGAGATGCTACCTCTCTGACTTCTTCCAAATCCTGCCCAAGAACCCACCTTTTCCACGAAGACTTTGGCACACCTCCCTAGTTCAAAGGCCCTAAGTGAGAGGTGGGGAAACGGTAACCCACCAGTTGTTGCCAGACTACAACTTCCATCGTCCTTGACTGGGGTAGGGTAACTTGGTTCAGCCCAGGGACCTCCTTCTCTTCTAGGCAACCTTGCAAGGTACACGCCAGGGCCAATAACTTTGCCTTTGTACACTAGACTTGTTCCTACGCGCCTTCTCTATCCCACTACCTGCAAGACAAGAAAAGAGGCGTTATTAGAAAGCAAGGACGCATTCTCACTGGGCAGAATCAAAGCAAAACCTCAGAGAAAATACCAAAGAAAGCCAATGAGGGGTATGGCCTGGGATAAAGGGTGTGGCTGAGGAGGGGTGTGGCCTGGAGAGAGCCAAGAGGGGCGACATTTGGGCCTGAGGTTCCTGCTCAGTATCATTTACCACCACAGGCCATGCTAGCTGGGGCTGATGGGAGATGTAGTCCAATCTTATGGCAAGTCAGCATGGTGAACAAGAGTGTTGAGCTATGACCTGGGAGAGCTATTTCATAGGTAAAGGGTAAAGGGACCCCTGACCATTAGGTCTAGTCGTGGCCGACTCTGGGGTTGCGGCACTTATCTCGCTTTATTGGCCGAGGGAGCCGGCGTACAGCTTCCGGGTCATGTGGCCAGCATGACTAAGCCGCTTCTGGCGAACCAGAGCAGCGCACAGAAACGCCGTTTACTTTCCCGCCGGAGTGGTACCTATTTATCTACTTGCACTTTGACGTGCTTTCGAACTGCTAGGTTGGCAGGAACAGGGACCGAGCAACGGGAGCTCACCCCGTTGTGGGGATTCGAACTGCCAACCTTCTGATCGGCAAGTCCTAGGCTCTGTGGTTTAACCCACAGCGCCACCCGCATCCCGAATCATAGAATTGTGGAGTTGGGTGGTCATCAAATCCAAGCCCTTGCAACGCAGGAATTGTTTTTCGCAATATGGGACTCGAACCCACAACCCTGGGTCCCATGCTCTACCATCTAAGGGAGATCAGGGTTTGAATCCCCACTCAGCCACGAAGCTCATTGGGTGACCATGGGGTCCAGTACACTGCCTCCCACAGCCTAACCTACCATTCAGAGTGGATGGGTGCGAGGATAACTGCAATAAGCAATCAGAGGGCTCGTTCATTTATTCATTTATTCAATTTCTATACCGCCTTTCATCCCAGGATCGCGGGGCGGTTTACAACATAGGAGCACAAAACAAAGCACGTAACATATTCGCAGGCAAAAGCAATAAGCCCTTGCAGCCAACTCCTTCCTACTTCTCTTTTTATTCCAGCTGCAGAAACTGGAAAGAGAAAGTGAGGGGGAAAAACCGAGAGCCAGATGGCCCACCACAAACCGTTCCTGCGCACACCCCTTGGCGTCATACGGGAGCAGCCGGTCGTGGGAGGGCGGACGGCTCGCCTTACGACGCAGGGGGGAGATAGAACACCGTGCAGGAAAATAGAACGCCATGTATCCATCTGATTCCGCCCGCAGCCAATAGCAGCGGAGGGCTTCACGCTCTCGGCCAATGAGCGGCCGGCTCCTGTGGGCCCGGATTTCCTCGTCCTCCATCCAGCTTGCGGTTGCTGGTGGAGGCAGCGGCCGGAGCTGCGCGCGTCTCCTGCTGCCGCTGCCGCTGCCGGTGCGCAAGACGTGGAGGAAAAGCCCAAGGCGGCCGTGCTGGACGTTCAGGTAAGGAGATTAGACCCCGAGCGGGTCTAATAGGCGAGCTTCTCGGGTTTGGCTGGGATGTTCCATCGTAGATCGCAGTTCGCGTCGGGCCCTTCGCGGCCATAACTTTCGGTTTTCTTATGGTGGTCGCTGAGCTTTGCGTTTTCAGAGATGCAATGGCACATGACCGCTCCGACGCCTCGTTTGCTGTGGCAGCTGACAGCGCCGCCCGGTGAGTGCCTTCTCAGCAGCAGGGTCTGGCCTGAAGGCTCCAGGGTTGCCTCGCCACCTCTAGGCGGCAGGTGGAGGGGCTTGAATCTCCAGGTGGGCGGGGACGCGGTTGAGGATGATGATGATGATAATAATAATAATAATAAATGAATAAAAACCAAGAAGGCCGTGCATGAAGCTTGCAAGCTTCAGACTGGCAGCAGCCAGTTGCAAATTGTAGCATGGACATTGGGGAGGGTTGGAGTTTTTTTTGCTACCCTCTTTCCCAATTAACCCCCATCTCCAGGTCCCACCTCCCTATGACATCACCCAGGGCTGCCCCTCAGTCTCAGGTTTGGTCCCTGCAATCTCAGGGTCTGGGGTGCTCCTGACCTGGCTACCTGTTCAGTGGAGTGCGGCTTATCTCCAAGCAGGTGTGTGTACAGAATTACAGAGTAGGCTCGCTCCTTCTGAATCCGGCTTCAAAACCGAGCTGTGCTGATCTTCTTCCCTGTGCCAACGCAGCGCCCCTCTCCTCCCTACACCCTCTGGGCATTCTTTCTCCAAAGGTTAGTGAGGTGCGTACATTGCAGAGGGCCAGTCCAGCCATAAGAAGGACCCTTCTGGATCAGGCCAAAGGCCCATCGAGTCCAGCATTCTGTTCTTACAGCGGCCAACCAGACACCCATGGGGAGCCCAAAGGAGGAGCCCACAGATACATTTGATTCCATTTTATAGAGTCATCAAATTGTAGAGTTGGAAGGGACCCCAATGATCATCTGGTGCAATGCAGGAATCTCAGCTAGATCAGTAATGACAGGTGGCCATCCAATTTCTGCTTAAAAACATTCAAGGAAGGAAAGTCTACCTTCCACTGTCTTAACAGCTTTTACGGTCAGAAAGTTCTTCCTGATGTTGAGTCAGAATCTGATTTCTTGTTACTTGAATCCATTGGTTCCCCTCTCCCCATATTATCCTCTTAACAACCCTGTGAGGTAGTCTACAGGCCATGGAAGGTAGTGGCTTGCTCAAGGTGACCCAGTGAATTTGTGACTTAAGTGGGCACTTGAACCTTCTCCAATCCAAGTCCGATATTATTTTGCTGGTTTTCAGGTCAGTTGAAGGCCTGAATCAAATGGATATTAAATACTGTGTGAAAGTTTCCTGGTTAGAAAGGTGGAGCTCTCCGTCACTGGAGGTATTTAAACAAAGGCTTGATAACCAATCTGTCAAGGATCTTGGAATTGTAACCTGCATTATGGATTCTACACAGAGTAGATGGCTGAACAAAATGGTAGCCTGCAACATTTTCAGACCCCATGCATTTGGGGTTCCGTTTATCATATACAGTGGTACCTTGGTTTAAGAACAGCTTAGTTTATGAACAACTTGGATTGAAAATTCTGCAAACCTGGAAGTAGGTGTTTTGGTTTGTGAACTTTGCCTTGGAAGCAGAACATGTTCTGCTTCCTGTTGAGCGTGTTCCTTTTGTAAATTGAGTCCCCTGCTGCTATGGGAAAGCACGCCTTGGCTTAAGAATGCTTTGGTTTAAGAACGGACTTCCGGAACGGATTAAGTTCGTAAACCAAGGTACCACTGTATTTGTATTGTGCTAGTGCTACTATTGTGACCTACTTTTTGTTATTTATTAAATTAATTGAATTTATTTAATTCCCATACTGCCATTCATCCAAAGATCACAGGATGGTTTACAATAGAAGAACACAAAAATACATGGTTGTTGGCATCTGCCTGTCTCGAGAGACAATGGGATGCACCTCCCGGGGTGAAGCCAAATCTCTGTGTTGGCAGCTCTGAAGTGACCTCCCCGGGGCGCAGGCTTGGGCAGTGTGTATGGGGGTCCTGGGCTGCCCAGATGACGAGACCCCCCTCTTGGTCTGGCTGATGCAGTCCACAGGAAAACAGAGCAAGACGTTTGGCAATAGCTTGGCTGCAGGAGTTGCTGGAAGGAGGCATATAAAGCACCATCCAACTTTCACAGCAACAAACAGAAACAGTACCTACACACACACACACACACACACACACACACACACACACAGTTTAAAAGGCCATAGATTGCTTAATTAGCCAGAGGCCTGGGAGAATAGTTTTTGCCTGACACCTAAAGAAATATAACAAAGGCCTCTCTGGGGAGAGCATTCCACAAGAGGGGGATCCTTGGGTCAGGCCATGGGGCAGTAGTGGGTCCCTACCTGCCAATTGAAGACCAGTGAACTAGATTAACTCCAATTTATCGTTTCAGCTCTAGAATTATATGGTTGCCCTGTATGACCAAAAATAAGGCTGCAAATGTGCTTCCAAGGGCCCATGGATTTCTGTATGAATGTCTTTATGTGTCGGCACGCTTAGGACTGTCTTGTAAAGGCGGTAGCACCCATGTATTAATTTATTGCATTTTGTTCTTCGATCTTCTTGGGCTGCAATCTGATATGCAGTGCTATTTTTCTAGAAAAAGAGGTGCTGGAACTCTCCATGAACGCCTCTCTCCTTGTCGTAGAATGGCAATGGCGTCCACTTGAGAGGTGCCGGAACTGAGTTCCTGCTGAAATAAAAAAAGCCCTGCCTTATATATATTGAAATTAGACTTGGTCTAATTTCAAAAAGTCGCCGTAAGTAGTCAGGCCAGACCTTGGGCAAGAGCAGTCTGACGACCTCCCCTGATAGTCTGTTGGGTGTGGAAAGAGAGGAAGGGGGGCCCTGAGAGAAAGGGGGGGCCCTACCAGTGTCAGCATGCAGCGCTGTACAGCCTTGCCCTGCAAGGAGAGAGTCTCTTCCTTTAAATTCCTAGGAGTTTATCTCAGTGAAGACCTTACTTGGAAAATCAGTACAACCCAAGTGGTTAAGGAAGCCCAACAGAGACTCCATCTCCTCAGAGTATTGCAGAAGAACGATGTCAATCAACATCTGATGATCTCCTTCTACCGGTCCACAATAGAAAGTGTCCTTTCATACTGCATCACGGTGTGGTATGCTGGTTTGACATCAACCGATAGGAAGTGCCTACAGAGGGTGGTGAATACAGCACAAGATATTATGGGCTGTCCCGTGAATCCTCTGGATGAAATAGCGGAAGAACGTTGCCTCAGGAGAGTGAGGAAAATTCTCAGGGATGATTCACACCCTGGCCGGCACTTTCTGGATCTCCTGCCCTCGGTCAGAAGATATAGAAGCATGATTAGTCGCACCAACAGGGTAAAGAACAGTTTCTATCTGTGGGCCGTTAGGCTGCTGAATGAAAGATAACAACAGGGCAACTGACTTTCGGGTTTGGTGAGTGTGTGTCAGTAAACGAGGGGAATTAAGACTAAGAGAGTTGAGTGGAAGGTGCTTGTATACAAGTTGTACAAGTGACAATAAAGTATTTCAATTTCAATATTTCTATTTCAATACCTGCTGACTCAAAAAGTAAGTCCCACTGGGTTCAGTGAGACTTACTCCCAAGTTAAGTATGTATGAGATTTTACCCTTAAGCCTTTTGCATTACAAGCTGCAGCTTTCAACTGTCAGGGCAGACTTCAAAGAAACTGGATCCTCCTCCATGCTTGTGCTTCCTTCCCTCTCCCTTTGCCTTCCCAGCCATGAGCACGTCCGGTTCTCTCCTGTGGGCGGTCGACATCTTCGGCCGCGTCTACACTCTTTCCACTGCCGGCCAGTACTGGGAACTCTGCAGAGATGGGGAGCTGGAGTTTAAGAGGGTTTCTGCCGTCAAGCAGTGCTGCTGGGGAATTGCGTGCGACCACCAGGTCTACGTTTACATCCACTCCAACGACGTCCCCATCCGGTACCAGGAAGAAACCTACGAGAACCAGGTATGCAAAGGAAATGGGCTGAGCTCACAATGGAAGTCGGCAGTTAAAGCTAAGAAGCGCCCTGCTGGATCTGACCCAAACCCTGTCTATTCCAGCATCCTGTGACCAGTCAGAGAGCCAGTGTGGTGTAGTAGTTAAGAGCGGTAGTCTCGTAATCTGGGGAACCGGGTTCGCGTCTCCACTCCTCCATATGCAGCTGCTTGGTGACCTTGGGCCAGTCACACTTCTCTGAAGTCTCTCAGCCCCACTCACCTCACAGAGTGTTTGTTTTGGGGGAGGAAGGGAAAGGAGAATGTTAGCCGCTTTGAGACTCCTTCGGGTAGTGATAAAGCGGGATATCAAATCCAAACTCTTCTTCTTCTTCTCTGGGAAGCCCAAAAGCATGAGGGCAATAAGCCTGTTGCTTCCCAGCAGAATTAGGTGGAGCCACCATGTAAATATTACTATCTTCAGTAAAGTAGGCTAGTTTCCACACACCCACTTTTACTCACGCTATTCTTCTCTGTCCGCTGTCCAAACAATGCATCATCAGAGTTCAAGGACACATTCCAGCCAGGCAGAAACATTCAAGTAGGGTCAGTGGGTCTGGAGATGCCTGCCCTATATCTAACAGAGCTTCTCATTCATGCTTTGTCCCGTACGGTAACATTTGAGTGCAGAATGTGTTGGGTTTTATTTTGGCATTCCTTCAATGTTTTCATGTTGTTGTTTTTTTGTTGCAGTTTGTCTTTAAGTGCTATTTGAAAGTTTATCAGAAACCACAGGCGGCCTCGCGTAAATATGGTATCTATAGTGGGTTTCCTCCCCGGGTGTAGATCCACCCTTATATAATTTTGGAGTCTTCACTCAAGCTTTTACTTTTAAAGTTTGTGCGCATATATCCTGGAAATCTATTGGCTGACTAATGGGGTACTTTTAATTTTTTTAATTGTTATTTCTTAAATTTATATATTGATCTCAGGGTGGTTCACAAGATAAAAATTCAGGATAAAAGCACAAATACATAGTTAAAACAGAAACAAAGCAAAACAATACCCCCCCCAAAAAAAAAATTAACAGGCTGTAGAATATTAATCAGCCAATGGCCTGGTTGAAGAGGAATCTTTTCCCCTAGTGCCTAAAGATGTATAATGAAGGTAGCAGGTGAGCCTTCCTGGAGTATATCTTTGCATTCCACAAATGGGGAGCCACTGCAAAAAAGGCCCAGTCTCGTGATGCCATCCTCCAGACCTCACATGGAGGAGGCACACAAAGGAGGACCTCATATGGTGATTGCAGAATCCGGGTCAGTTTATATGGGGAGAGGCGGTCCTTGAAGTATTGCAGTCCTGAGCCGTTCAACTTGTTCAGCTGAACAAACGATTTCTTAATTGATTTAACCTGTTGAATATTGGAGCCCCAAAATGTACTCTCCAGGCAGAGGCAATCTAAGGTTACCAATGTGGGTCTAAGTCAAACATCTGTGGCCCTCCAGATGTCGCTGGACTACAACTCCCATCGTCCATTAACCACACCAGCAGAGGACAATGGGATTTGTAGTCCAGCAATGCCTGGGGACCTGAGATTAAGAGAGTGTACAATATGTGATTGTTTTCTTGTTCGCTCCCTGGCAGCGCTGGAATCCCGTGATTGGCTTCTGCGAGAAGTTATTGCCCAGTGACCGCTGGCAGTGGAGCGATGTGAGTGGGCTGAAGCATCAGATGCTCGAAAGCTTTGAGTTGCCGTCGCCTCACTGGGAATGGGAAGCTGACTGGTATGTGGATGAAAATTTTGGAGGGGACCCCACAGAGAAAGGGGTAGGTGCAAAATATCGAAAAGGGATCCACGTCCTCTTGCGAGGAGGGAGGGAGGGAGCAATGTGGAAGGGGAAGGGTTGCTATCTTGCTTTCAAAATACATTGCCGCATTCATACTTGCTACCCAGGGGGCGTTGAGCTGGGGGTGCTATTTGTAATAGAAAGCAGGGACCACTAGGTCAAAGGCAGGGGCCTTCAGGGCATCTCCAAAGGGTAGGTTTGCCCAGGAACTGTGAGTGTACAAGCAAGCAGCCTTATGCTGACTCAGCAGTTGCACTGCTATACAGGCACCTATTGGATAGCGTCTGTGACATCACAGCAAGGTTGTGTCTCCTAGTACTACTTATTCCATTTTGGGACTATTACTGCTACCATTCCAGTTATCTTTTCTTGTAACCCTTCTGCACTCTTTTTATGCTGATGCTGGAGCGCACGTCAAATTAATAACTGATTAACCCTCCAGTCGCTGGAATGGTGGGTGTTGGAATCCAACAGCGCCGGGACGTCCTTAGATTTGGGTAGCAACAGATGGCTCGTTAGCTTTAGTAGACAAATTTAATAAATAATAACAAAAGATTCTTGTACCTGCAAATCTGTATTGACGTCAAGCAACCTTCATTATGGTGTTATTCTTCTTGCGATAGTTCTGTGCATTGCGGTTACGAATAGATAAAATGTGCAGAGTTTGTGAACTGTGGTTGTTTGGAAGTTGCACTGATTTCAGAGGGACTTGCTCCCTACGAAGTATAGTGAGTAGTCTGTCTCCACTGATTTGAGTGGGGTTTACACCCAAGTGAGCATGTCTAGGATTGAAGCCTTAGAGGACAGGCCACAAAAATTGTGTCCGTGGGCATCATTGTGGCCACCGACATCACCTAGGAGGCCAACGAAAGGTCTCCGTAAATACCCTCTTCATAATCTGCAATGCACAAGAGACTATTTAGTCTTAGCTGCTGCTCAGTTCCCCTTTGCCCTTGCTGGGCCTATCCTATGTTGAAGATGTCATGCTACGTCAGCTGTTTTGTGACTGGCACCCACAGCACCGGGCTTTGACCCACCAGGCCAAAGCTATTGGCACCCCTTGCCTTAGAGGGATAGTACTGCTATTGCAGATGTTATTCTTTATAAGTGTTAGAAGCCCAGCTTCAACATCGGGCAGCCTCTCCCTAGCCCAGTTTATGTGCAAACCAGCACTCGTGGTTTGCCTGGCAGGCTCCTAGGAAACCATGGTTTGTTCTTACCAACGTGGTTTGTCAGGAGACAGACAAACTGTAAGCAGCGGTTCACATGTAACGGCAAGTCAACCTCTAGTTTATTTCCTCTCTGGGGGGGCACTGAAGTTAAGAGCAGTGGAGGAGCAAAGTGCAAGCTCACTTTAAACCCTAGTTTACTTTAACCTATCGTTTAAAACGGGACGCGGGTGGCGCTGTGGGTAAAAGCCTCAGCGCCTAGGGCTTGCCGATCGAAAGGTCGGTGGTTCGAATCCCCACGGCGGGGTGCGCTCCTGTTGCTCGGTCCCAGCGCCTGCCAACCTAGCAGTTCGAAAGCACCCCCGGGTGCAAGTAGATAAATAGGGACCACTTTCTAGCGGGAAGGTAAACGGCGTTTCCGTGTGCTGCGCTGGCTTGCCAGATGCAGCTTGTCACGTTGGCCACGTGACCCGGAAGTGTCTCCGGACAGCGCTGGCCCCCGGCCTCTTGAGTGAGATGGGCGCACAACCCCAGAGTCTGGCAAGACTGGACCGTACGGGCAGGGGTACCTTTACCTTTACCTATCGTTTAAAACTGGGGCAGGGAACCTTTTTCAGAACAAAAGACGTGTGTTCCATTTTGGGCAGTCTTCCCAGGGCCATGTGCAATCGCTGTGCAGGGTGAGATGCAAAAGTTGGGCAATGGGTATAATTTTTTCCTTTGTACAGTACGCATTGACGTGCACACCCCTCTCTGTCCTCCGTCCAGGCAAGGAAGAGGAATGATCAGAGTTGAAGGGCAAATTCCAGCCAGGCAAAAAATACTCAAGGCCAGTGCAAAGTCAAGCTAGTGAAAGGTGTGGCCTGGGGAGAAAGTGTAGGCTGGAGAGAGTTCTGAGGGCCAGATAGCGAGACTTGGAGGGCCACATGTACACCCCAAGCCTGAAGTTCCTATCCCCTGATTTAATGTGTCACGAGAACCAGGCTAGGTTGATTAGTGGTTCTTATTAGGCTGGGCAGGCAATCAGATCGCAGCATGCTTTAGCTGAGATTCCTACATTGCAGGGGGTTGGACTAGATGACCCACGGGGTCCCTTCCAGCTCTACAATTCTGTGATTATGTATTGGCGGATTAAAAGCTGCTTTGTAAGAGCAGCATTGCTAATTTTGCCAGAGGTTGGTGCTTAGTTCGTGCCTAGAGTATATTGAGCTTTTTTTCAGGTAAACACAATACTTGACAAAAATATTTTTCTGACTGCTTTCTCCCCCTTCCTTCTTTTTCCTTTTTCAGGGCTGGACATACGCCATAGATTTCCCAGCCACCTATACCAAAGACAAGAGGTGGAATTCCTGTGTGCGACGGAGGCGGTGGATTCGGTACCGGAGATACAAGTCGCGAGATACATGGGCAAAGGTGTCTCTCCCCCTCTCCCCCCCCATCCATTTTTCAAATTTGCAATGTGTCTGGAGGTGGTCAGGGTTGGCTCAAGGCCTTTCACAGTGGCTGTGCTGCACAACCTAAGATCTAACCCCAGATTCCTTGCAGCAGGGCCTTTTCAGTGGTGTCCACCTGATTGTGTTGATGCCGGGCAAAGGTGATTTTCTTCTTCCAGGCTCTTGGAGGATGCTGTTTCCGGGTTTTTCCATTGCTTTCCATCTGGGTTGAGGCATTTAGTGTTTCTGAACAGCCCTGCGAGTTTTGGCAGAAAGCATATATTTTTTAAATTTAACGGCGCAACCAGTGGGACTTGCAACAAGATGTTTCGGTGTGGAGGGTTCCAGCAACTTCACCTCCAATCCATCCTTTCATTCCATTCACATCCATTACGTTTACCCCTGCATCCCATTGGCCGATTTTGTAGTAACATTCCCCCCCCCCTCAGGGAAGGATAGTTGTAATGTTATTTACCGTATTTTTCGCTCTATAAGACGCACCAGAGCATAAGACGCACCTAGTTTTTGGAGGAGGAAAACAAGAAAAACAATATTCTGAATTTCAGAAGCCAGAACAACAAGAGGGATCGCTGCGCAGCGAAAGCAGCGATCCCTCTTGCTGTTCTGGCTTCTGGGATAGCGGTGCAGCCTGCATTCGCTCCATAAGACGCACACACATTTCCCCTTACTTTTTAGGAGGGAAAAGTGAGTCTTATAGGGCAAAAAATACGGTATATCATTTTTCCACCTTGGGACCCCATATGTTGTTAGGGGGGCATATCGTAACACCATCTGCAAGCAATTTCTAAATGAGCGGCTCTTAATAAGAAACAATAAGTTCAGCTGGGAAGAATGTCGACTCTGGACCAACAGGAAAGTAATTCAAAGCGTGTTTTCTGCCCTTGCTGCTGTAGATTCCATCCCAACAGGATCCCAAACAGTTGCCGGATCCTTTCAATGATCTTTCCGTCGGAGGATGGGAGATTACAGACGAGCCAGTGGGAAGGTTGTCAGTCTGGGCTGTGTCTTTGCAAGGAAAGGTAACACCTATTTGCCTTCGGGATTCTTTCATATGGCAAAAGAGTGTTGGTCCATCCATCCATCAGCCGGTCTGCACCAGGAGTGCAGAGGGCTCTAGCCAGTGCTGGTCCTACTCAGCGTAGACCCATTAAAACTAATGAACACAACTCATTTTAGGTTCATTAATTTCAGTGTGTCTTCTCTTGAGTTGGAGTAGTATTGGATACAATCTAGAACAGTTGTTTCCCAACCTTTGGGTCTCCCATTTGTTTTCGGACTACAATGCCCATCATCTCTGACCACTGCTCTTGCTAGCTAGGGATGATGGGAGTTGTAGTCCAAAAACAGCTGGAGCAACACTGTTCTAGAACCTTTTTCATCCCCAAGAGGTACATACCCATGAGGGCAACTTTGCAGAGGTAGCCTCTGGCAGGCAGGGGCAGGGCAGAATACTTTAAATACGTTTTTGTTTTATTTTTTTAAATTACAGGTGTTATTTGCCACTCTGGGCTCCTATTTGGGAGGAAGGGCACAGTGGAAATTTATATAAAATATAAAATTAAATAGACAAACATATAAAATCAACAGTTGCTGTTCCTGAAGGCTACACGTTTCCCCCTCACTTCAGGTCTGGTACAGGGAAGACGTCTGCCATCACAATCCGGAAGGTTCTTCGTGGTCTTTAATTGCTACCCCTGGGGAAGCCGTCCAGATCAGCTGCGGGCCGTACGACCTTCTCTGGGGAACTCTTTGGGAAGGGCAGGCGATCGTGAGGGAAGGGATTGACAGGAACAACCCTCAAGGTAAGCCCCATTTTGTGGGCATGTTCAGGGCGGAAGGAGAGGATATATTGTTTATTAATCTGCTTCTTAACTTGCTCTAGCAAGTTCCTTTACTTAGCAGAGTTTACATTCCCCTTCTCATGCACAGCCGGAAACTAGTTGCAAACTTGTGTGAGTTTCTTAAGACAATACACAATTCAGTCTGGCTCCTAACAGAATAAAGACACCACAGTATTATTCATAAGCAATAAATAGAAAGTTTACTCAAGATCAGGCGAGCACGGTGTGATCCCGGAAGGCAGACTTTAGGGTTAAAGTTACAAGCATATACAAACAGGTTTACCCCATATGTGGGTTGACCTAGTGACTGCAGTTAGCAGTCCAGGAAGTTCGCAGGGCAAAAAGAAGATGGAAAAGAGAGAAAGAGGCAGCAAGTCTAGAAAGGTCATGCCCACCCACTAGTCACATGCTCCAGGCCAGGAGGAACAGGAAGTTTCGACTGGCTGGACCAAACATCCCCTTGCATGTGCACTCTAGCAAAACAAGGAATGTTGTATTTGACTACTCCCAGTGGATTACATCCCACACGTTTGCAGTCCCGGGAGGCTTTTGACGGTGACCTTCAAGTGCTGAACTGTTTAGGATCAGGTGACTTAAAGGCTGTAGCAGCGTTCGTTGCTCACCTGGCTTCCCAGCGCCACGCATCTGTCGGTTACTGGGAGGGTGAGGAGCCAATCAGGTGCTCCGTTGCTGCGCATGAACCTTGCCAAGCTCCCTGCCGCCTCACCCTCCCGGTGCCATCTGCTTTTAAGTCCATAGCTTAGGATCTGCTTCAGAGACCTTGATTAGGTGCTCTCCTGCAAAGACTGTCTGCCTGGGGAACAGGGCCTTTTTGCTGGTGGCTCCATGGTTGTATTTAATCCCACGTCAAGTGAGGCAGGCACCATCCATTGGTAGCTCCAAAGAGGCCTTTAAAACCCACGGACTGAGGTGTAGAAACAATAGTTTGCTCTGGCTTTTGTGTGCTTATGATGGGTTATTGTTGCCTTTGTGCTACCTTACTATGATTATGAAGGAGATATCTTTAAGTGGTTTTAATTTGCAGGTGTTTATTTTATTTTGTTAAGTTTATATCCTGCCCTTCTTCCCAAGGGAGCACAGGGTTCACATTTTGTTGATGGTTTGATTTGTATTTCGTATCCCCTCGTATCCCTTGTTTTCCGAAGCGTGTTTTTCTTGAGGTCATAAATTTACAAAAAGTCAATAAAAGCATCATATTTTTCTTCTTGTTTGGAACTGAACTAGGGATTCAAATTGTTCTCTTCCTTTTTCCTCTGACAGGAATTTCTTGGACGATTGTGGAGCCACCGGTCCCAGAGAATGGAATCTTACATGTGTCAGTGGGTGTGAATGTTGTTTGGGCAGTTACCAAAGACCGAAAAGTAAGAAGCTTTGAGACACAATTGCAGTTTAAGGTTTCCTTTCATTTAGTGCTGGCTATGTTTCAATTCCTCATGACAGAAGAGAGGAATTGAAAACAACAGTTTAGGATAACAGTCAGCCACTCCCCATCACCCAGGGCAGTATCTTCGTACCTTAAAAAATTGCCCTGTCCCCTATTCCACTTTTAAAAAGACTGGGGAATCTTCATTATCTGTTGCTGTGATTTATTAATCCAGTTCCCTTGGTTTCCTGGGAAGAGGAAATAATTGTAGCAATTCTAGCCCTTTGTGGGGAACAGGGGTCTCCTAACAACTCTCAGCACCCTCAAGAAACTACAGTTCCCAGGATTTTGCGGGAAAGCCATGACTTTTTAAAGTGGTTTGATTACTCCCTTAAATGTGTAACGCAAACGGAGCCCGTTGCCATTTTCTGTGTAACCTATAAAGTACCGTATTTTTGGCTCTATAAGATGCACCAGACCACAAGACGCACCTAGTTTTTGGAGGAGGAAAACAAGAAAAAAAATATTCTGAATCTCAGAAGCCAGAACAGCAAGAGGGATCGCTGCGCAGCGAAAGCAGCAATCCCTCTTGCTGTTCTGGCTTCTGGGATAGCTGCGCAGCCTGTATTCGCTCCATAAGACGCACACACATTTCCCCTTACTTTTTAGGAGGGAAAAAGTGAGTCTTATAGAGCAAAAAATACGGTAATTCAGGAATCTTGAGTATTGCTACTCTGCATAATTTATTCCATTTTCAGAATTCAATTGGGGAGGGGAACAGAGTTGGTAGAGAAATCCGGAGCCACCAAGCAGTAATTTTGGATATTCTCCCCTCAGGTCTGGTTCAGAAGAGGTGTGAACTCTCACAATCCTTGTGGCACCAGCTGGATCGAGATGGTTGGCGAGATGGTGATGGTAAACGTCGGCTTGAATGACCAGGTGAGGCTCCCTCCAGGACAGGCGTAGGCAAGCTCCGGCCCTCCAGATGTTTGGGACTACAATTCCCATCACCCCTGACCACTGGTCCTGTTAGCTAGGGATGATGGGAATTGTAGTCCCAAACATCTGGAGGGCAGGAGTGTGCCTATGCCTGCTTTAGAAGCAGCAGAGCAGGTATCCAAGCAGGTCTGGGCCATTAGCCCCACTGGAAGTTGAACCAGGCCTGCAAAAAGAAAAAAGAAAAAAACTTTGAACCTGTTCATAGGATTGGCTCTTCTACAACTGAGCCGGGATGAACAGAACCGTAGCTCACTGGCAGAACACAGGCCTTGCATCTCAGGTTAAAAGGGTGAGGTCGTACGTGGTTGGATGTGTAGACGAAAACATGCCTTCAACTTAGTTTAGGGTTAAAATCTGTCAAGATTTTATTCAAAGCTTTTGCTAAGGAGAGGTGCAGAGGTTTTGCTAGTCTGGTTTATTTTATTTTTAATTATCTTTGCATTTTCTATTTTACATAAAGCAAATGAATTAAAAACATAGACATACCATCCCGACGCACTTGTTACGTGAAATACATGTGCATATCATCTTTTTGGGTACCTGTCAACTCAAACATTTTTCTCGGCCTGAGTCTCCTGTTTTAATTACTGCGTGGTTTTAATGGGATCGTTTCACTGTGTATTTTAATTGTGGTTGTTTATATTTCAGTGTTCAAATGGGGCTGTTTTATTCCGTGTTTTGGTTTTGTATTCTAATTATGGCTGCTTTGTTTTCATGCTCGCATTTTCATACCTGCAAACTGCTTTGAAGCTTATTTTGGCATTAGGCAGTATATAAATATATCAGATAAAGAAATATTATTGTGTCAAATAATAAAGTTGCTCTTACTTGCTACAGCGCAAAGCCTGGGAGCCACTTCTTTTGTGATGTCAGCCGCAAGGGAGTTGAACATCTATTTTTCTTACTCTCACACACATTTCTGCTTTATCTTCTCTCTCTCTCCCTGTCTAGGTCTGGGGGATCAGCTGTGAGGACAGAGCCGTTTATTTCCGTCAAGGTGTCACCCCAAGTGAGCTGAGTGGGAAAACATGGAAAGCAATTGTTTGCAGCCGAGATAGTGACCGATCGCAGACTGGCAGCTCAACAAGTCTCCTCAGGTAACTTAGAAACCCTGAGAATGTGCTTTTAACAACAACAAAAACCATAATCTTCTACTACAGTGGTACCTCGGGTTACAGACGCTTCAGGTTACAGACTCTGCTAACCCAGAAATAGTACCTCAGGTTAAGAACTTTGCTTCAGGATGAGAACAGAAATCACGCAGCGGGAGGCCCCATTAGCTAAAGTGGTACCTCAGGTTAAGAACAGTTTCAGGTTAAGAACGGACCTCCAGAACGAATTAAGCTCCTAACCCAAGGTACCACTTTATATATAATTTGCTTGGCAAGCTTGCTACTGAATGATAACAGTCTTGGATCTGCTGCAATCTCTTTCTCTTCACCCTTTCCCCAAGTGCTGGCTGTTTCTTCACGGACGACATCAAGGAACAAACCAACTCCATATTCCGAAGTGATGGAGACCTCCCATCCGATATCGAGGCACCTCTGGTTCTGGAAAACGTTTGCCTGCCTGGGTGTGCGGCTGGTGACAACAAGCCCCCACAGGCCCCGGAATCGGACGCAGGCCCGGCTGTGAATCTTGTCCCATCCCCTCTTGACGAAGCCAACCCTGCGGCGGATAAAGGGCTGGCGGATGTCCCAGAAGCGCCTGCCTTGGGTCCAGAGTCTCAACCCGCTGAATTGCAGTGGACAAACATTGACCTGAAGGAGGCCAAGAAGCCAGCTGCAGCCTCTGCAAGCGCCTCGGCTGAGGCATCCAGCCTGTCCTCTTTTGGCACGTTGTCCGTTGGCATAGAGGATCATTTGGAGGCTGACGAACATCCGTTGTGGGCCTGGGTCTGTGGCGGAGGCTGCTTTGTGGATTCACACAGCTCCCTCAAGTGGTTCACGGTGCAGTCAGGTGGGGGAGATTTCCACTGTTTGAACCATCTCCATGTCCCCTTCTGAATGTGTCCACTTCCCCTGTGGTCCTTCCTTCCCATTGATCCAGCCCTGTGAGGTCCCACTTTTAAATCTCTATCCTTTGGTCACGGACTTAACGTTGAGACACACCTAAGTTTCATGTGCAGCGGTGTCTGGTAAACCTGTGTCTGGCCTGTACTACTTAAGACGGCAGGTGGGAATTCACAGGACTGAATGCTGTTCTGTACAAAATAGTTCAGTATACAAGGAAAACTATCCAGATGTTGCTGGAGATGGATTCTAGGCAACCTTTTCCTGACCAGCTAGTGTGGTGTTCTTTTCTTTCTGTGAAGGAATATTGAACCCTCACAAGTGGCCTGAAGTTGTATACCGTATTTTTCGCTCTATAGGGCGCACCTAGTTTTTTTTGGGGGGGAATAAAGGGGGGGAAATCCCCCCTCCGAGCCCCAAAGAGCAAAGAAGCCATGACAGCGAGCGGGATGGATCCCGCTAGCTCTCTTGGCTTCGTTTTTAGCCTCAGGGCTGGGGCAGGGGAAGCCCAAGCTTCCCCCAACCCCAGCCCCCAGAACGGGTCCAGGAGCTTGCTGCTATCCGCAAGCCTTCAGAGCCTGGCGGGAACTCCCTCTGGGCTCTGCAGGCTTGCAGATAGCCCGCGCTCCCCGAGCTTCAGGCTGCAGGCAGCTATCCGCACACCTTTGGAGCCCGGCAGGAGTTCCCTCTGGGCTCCGCAGGCTTGCAGATAGCTTCCTGAAGCCTGCATTCACTCCATAGGACGCACACACATTTCCCCTTCATTTTTGGAGGGTAAAAAGTGCGTCCCATAGAAAGAAAAATACGGTAGTCCAGACATGGGTCTGCTGTCTCATTCATTTATAAGAACTAGGCCTGAAGCCTGAAGTCTCTGTGAGTAAGGCTGACCCTTTTCCCTCAGATTTGCAAGACTCCTGGCATTTGTGCGACTATCTCTTTGCTTTAAGTTAGCCTTCTCCAGAGTTGAGTCCCTTGATGGTGTTGGACTACAGGTCCCATCATCCCTGATAGTTGGGCATGTTGGTAGGGGCTGATGGGAGCTGTAGTCCAGCAACATCTGGAGCTGGGGTCAGCAAACTTTTTCAGCAGGGGGCCGGTCCACTGTCCCTCAGAACTTGTGGGGGGCCGGACTATATTTTTTTTGGGGGGGGTGAATGAATTCCTGTGCCCCACAAGTAACCGAGAGATGCATTTTAAATAAAAGCACACATTCTACTCATGTAAAAACACGCTGATTCCCAGACCACCTGTGGGATTTAGAAGGCGATTGAGCCAGATCTGGCCCCCTTAGTTTGCCTACCCATGATCTGGAGAAACAACACAGTGGCTTCTGATAAAACATAATGCTATGTTTTTTCTCTTCATCCTAGTAGCCAGTCTTGGAACCCTACCTCAAACTTTGGTACCTATCTTGGGCGATGAAGTCTGTGTGTGGCGGTGGGATGTACGAAGTTGCCTCACATCCATGCCAAACGTATAAAGCACTTGGCTTCCCCTAGAGAATCCTGGGAACTGTAGGTTACCTCTCAGGTAGCTACAGTTCCTGGCTCCTTTCACAAACTACAGTTCCCAGAAACCCATGTGCTTTAAATATGTGGTGTGGGACATAGGATGCTGCCTTATACTGAGTCAGGCTCGGTGGTCCATCTAGCTCCATACTGCCTACACTGACAGGCAGCAGCTCTCCTAGGTTTCTGATAGGGAACATTGCCAGCTGTGCCTGGGCATTGAACCTGGGACCTCCTGCATGCAAGGCAGTTGAGGTGCGCTCCTTCCCCAGGTAGAAGCAATTGCTTACCTGTCTAAGCCAGTGTTGTCTCTCCTGACTTCTGGCCTCAGGCAGAAGTTATCACATCACCAACTTCCTGGTCCTTTTTGAACCCAAAGTGGCAGGGATTGAACTTGAGGCCTTCTGGATGTTCTGTTGACTAGTCCTTAATTATGTGCTCCTCCTTTTCTGCCGTAGCCTTATCCTCTTCTGGGCAGTCCCTTTCTCTCTCCATCACCCCTGCACAGACTGCCGTGTGGCGGAAGCAGATCTTTCAGCAGCTCACGGAAAGGACTCGGCGGGAGGTGGAGAACTTCCGACACTACGAACAGGCTGTCGAGCAGGTAAGCGTGGAGAGGGGCTGCCATCTTTTCCTGCATTTTGACTTTCAAAATGAGCAAGCTGAGGGACTCTGAAGGACTTCGGAGATGAGCTGAAAACTCTCCAAACTACATTTTTCATGTAGTTTTGACATTATGTATTAAGAGCTTTATGGCTAAGTTCCTAATACAGTGGTACCTCTGGATGTGAACGGGATCCATTCTGAGCCCCGTTCTCATCCTGAATCAAACATAACACGTGTGTGCGCGGGTCGTGTTTCGCCGCTTCCGCGCATGTGTGTGATGTCATTTTATGCGTCTGCGCATTCGCGAGCAGCGAAACCCAGAAGTAAGGCGTTCCGTTACTTCCGGGTCGCCGCAGAGCGCAACCCGAAAACGCTTAACCTGAAGCGTATTCATCCTGAGGTATGACTGTAACAGTACAATGGTACCTCAGGTTACAGATGCTTCAGGTTACAGACACTTCAGGTTACAGACTCCACTAACCCAGAAATAGTACCTCGGGTTAAGAACTTTGCTTCAGGATGAGAACAGAAATTGCGCGGCGGCAGCGGGAGGCCCCATTAACTAAAGTGGTACCTCAGGTTAAGAACAGTTTCAGGTTAAGAACGGACCTCCAGAACGAATTAAGTTCTTAACCCGAGGTACCACTGTAGTAAACATGACTATACCACTATACCTCTGTTATGGGGGATGTCTTGGAGGAGGGGAGAAGCAGGCTAAAGTCTCTTTAGAGCCAGAAAAAAATTGATTGGAGGCCGCATGAGGTTCTAGGACCTATGTGTTTGCCACCCCTACCATACAGAGTGAGGCCGGGGGGGGGGGTGAGGTTCCATGTCTCAAGATGCTTACAACCTACAATTCTGACAATGGGTGAGTCGAAAGGAATTTGACCTGTCTAACCTACTTTTAAAGTTGTGTAAGTCGATCACTATCACCACATCCTGTGGCAAGAAATTCCATCGTTCAAGAGCATAAATAAGTACTTTTGTCTGGAACCTTCCACCCAGCAGCTTTACTGGATGGCCCCAGAGAAGGGGGGGAAATCTCTGTCTGCTTTCTCTGCACAACCACCGTAGTATAACCTTCTGCCCTCTACTGTTTGTAGTAGAGAGAAGGAGCAATGGAGGGAAAGGGAGCAGAGGTATTTGGCCCCCTTGTGGCTTCTGCACCTAAATGCTGTTGTTGGGTGGTGTTGTTGTTGTTGAGTCGTTTAGTTGTGTCCGACTCTTTATGACCCCATGGACCAGGGCACGCCTGGCACTCCTGTCTTCCACTGCCTCCCGCAGTTTGGTCAAACGCATGCTGGTAGCTTCGAGAACACTGTCCAACCATCTCGTCCTCTGTCGTCCCCTTCTCCTTGTGCCCTCCATCTTTCCCAACATCAGGGCCTTTTCCAGGGAGTCTTCTCTTCTCATGAGGTGGCCAAAGTATTGCAGCCTCAGCTTCAGGCTCTGTCCTTCCAGTGAGCACTCAGGGCTGATTTCCTTCAGAATGGATAAGTTTGGGGTAGTTGTGGTTTTATTCCATGGCATTGCATTGCATTCATTTCATTTCATTTTTGCCTCTCTAGTCTGTCTGGGTCAAAACTGGAACCTTGCAGTGGTGGAGAAGCTGGAAGCCTTACAGATGGGTTGATGTGCGGGTGGCCCTCGAGCAGTTCACTGGGAACGATGGCACACGGGACAGCATCCTCTTCATCTATTACATGCACTACGAGGAGAAGAAGGTACTGGTGCATGGCCATATTCTCTCTAGAGAAGCCACACCGAGGTCTCTGCATTGTGTCCGTGTTTTATGCACTGATTTGCTTTGTAAATTTATAACGTGATGTGAGATGGATTTTCCACCCACCCCAGAAAACTTTTCAGTACTTTCCATTTCTGTGAAAGTGTCCGAAAAATGCATTGTTTGCTTCATATAATTAATGAGCAGCATAATAAGCAGATGCAGTACCATTCAAATGGGTTGACTGCCAAATTCTTAATTTCTCCTCCAGGAAGCATTCGCGCCTATATAACATATATATGAATATCTCTTCCACTGTGCTAAAATTAGCATTTAGCATTTTTAAGTACAGTTGTACCTTGGAAGCTGAACAGAATCCGTTCCGGAAGTCCGTTCGACTTCCAAAACGTTCGGAAACCAAAGCGGGGCTTCTGATTGGCTTCAGGAAGCTCCTGCAGCCAATAGGAAGCCCAGACAGACATTTGGCTTCCAAAAAAAGTGCGGAAACCGGAACACTCACTTCCAGTTTTTGTTCTTTCGGGAGCCAAAACGTTTGACAACTAAGCCGTTCGAAATCCAAGGTACGACTGTATATGACAAAACTGTTTGGAGAGAGGAGGATACTTTTATTTCTAATTATCCAAATACATGTTGGAGTACAAGGCACCATCTTAGATGATGGCCTCCTATGTGGGGAACGTGGGAATGTGCCTTATACTGGCAGATTCCTGACCATTGGCCCATCTAGTTCAGTATTGTCTACACTGGCAGGCAGTAGCTCCCCAAGATTCCAGACTGCAGACTTTTCCAACCCTACCTGGAGATACCTGGGATTGAACCTGGGACCTTCTGCATGCAGAGCAGGTGTTCTACCACTGAGCTAGGACCCTTCACCCAGTGCTTTCCACCAGATTCTTTAAAAATTCCCAGATTCAGTTATCAAATGTGCGCCTCAGTTTAAAAAAGCTTGTATTTTGTGTGTTTTCCCAGTACATCCATGTGTTCCTCAATGAAGTCACCATCCTGGTTGAGATCCTGAACGAGGCCAAACATTCCTTCGCTCTGTATACGCCGGAAAAAACCAAGCAGCGCTGGCCCATCCGACTAGCGGCTGCCACCGAACAGGAGATGCACGACTGGGTGAGTTCAAAGACCAAATGCATGCTGAAATCAACAGGGCATGTTTTGAAATTCAGCCCTTGTGTATCAGATTTGAATATTGCTTTTTTTTAAAAAAAGCTCCCATCTGCACTATACATTTAAAGCTGTATGATACCACTTTATCACTCATGGCTTCCCTCAGAGAATCCCAAGAAACGTAGTTCAGTGAGGCTGTTGAGAGGTGTTTAGACCTTTCGTTCCCACAATTCCCAGAGTTCTCTGGGGAAAGGGATAGACCAGCGGTTCTCAACCTGTGGGTCCCCAGATGTCGTTGGACTACAACTCCCATCATCCCTGAGCTCTGGCCTTGCTAGCTAGGGGTGATGGGAGTTGTAGTTCAACAACATCTGGGGGCCCACAGGTTGAGAGAGACAGTTAAATCATTCTGAGAATTTTACAGTTAGCCATCCATCCCTCTTCTCCAGAAAACTCTGGGAATTGTGGCTCTGTGACGGGGAATAGGGGGTCTCCTAACAACTCACAGCACCCTTAGCAAACTACACTTCCCGTGATTCTTTAAGCAAAGCCATGACTGATAAGATAATAAGGTAAAAGGACCCCTGACCATTAGGTCTAGTCGTGACCGACTCTGGGGTTACGGCGCTCATCTCACTTTATTGGCCGAGGGAGCCGCCATACAGCTTCCGAGTCATACGGCCAGCATGACCAAGCTGCTTCTGGCGAACCAGAGCAGCACACGGAAACGCCATTTATCTTCCCACCGGAGTGGTACCTATTTATCTACTTTCACTGGTGTGCTTTCGAACTGCTAGGTTGGCAGGAGCAGGGACCGAGCAACGGGAGCTCACCCCGTCACGGGGATTTGAACCACCGACCTTCTGATCGGCAAGTCCTAGGCTCTGTGGTTTAACCCACAGCGCCACCCGTGTCCCGATAACATAGTAGGATGCTTTAAATCAGGGGTGTCCAACTTCCAAGAGACTGCGATCAACTCCCACTATAAATAAACTGGCAGTGATCTACCCATTTTATTGACCAGAGTTGTTGAGCTTCTTCCGGTTGGACAGCCCTGCTTTAAATGTTTAGTGTCATCTCTGGATTCGTATTTTAAAGGAGCTGCAATGCTCAAACTGCTCATGTTCCCCGTGACTAAATGTTTCCTCCTGTCGTGCCTCCCAGCTGGCTCTCCTGAGCATGTCCTGCTGCGAAAGCCGGCAAATCCAGGGCCCCCCCTCCCATCAGGCCATCTGGTCCGTGACCTGCAAAGGGGACATCTTCGCTAGTGAGCCAAGTCCTGACATGGAGGCAGCGACACACCCAACACCGTGTGACCAAATGTAAGAAGGCTTTAATAAGTCTCCCTTGCTAATGGATTATATGTGTGGCTGCAGATTTGCCCTTTTTTTGCCGGGTTTGGGGGGGGGAATCAAACACATGGCAAATTTCGATTGACCAGCAAAGGGCAGGCCTGAACCTGTTCCAACAAACTCAGAGGTCTCTACTGGGGTTGTTTCCTAGCCAATTTAAGGGCTCTCTCACTCTCCTTAGCCTACCTTACAGGTTGTTTTATGGCTATTGAGGGAGCCAGGTGTGCGTCCCCGAACTCGTTGGAGGAGGGATGGGCTAAAATTGCTAAAATAAAATAAAATAAAAGTTCATTTATAGAATAGGTGGATTGATTTCAGTGGTTCTCAACCTTTGGGTCCCCAGATGTTGTTGCACTACAACTCCCATCATCCTTCAGCTCAGACCTTGCTAGCTAGGGATGATGGGAGTTGTAGTCCAACAGTATCTGGGGACCCACAAGTTGAGAAAGGCTGGTTTAGATGGTTCTGTATCCTGGGGGAATGCTGAGCAGTTGTTTTTTTTTGTCCTGCAGGTTCTGGCGCCAGATAGGTGGACATCTCCGAATGATTGAATGCAACAGCCGCGGCATAGTCTGGGGCGTGGGGTACGACCACACTGCCTGGGTTTACACCGGTGGCTATGGAGGAAGTTTCTTCTCAGGTAAGAAATATATTTTCATTTTCATCTCTGTACTTGCAGGGGGGCCCTAGATGGCTCCCCTGGGTGGGACATCCCACCTGCCAGTGACCTGGCATTATAATTGACAGGTGGGATATCTTACTATATAATAATATCTCAGTGACTGCCATCACGCTGGTGACCAAGTGCACATGCACAGCAACCCAATGTTTCCTCCTGTTGTGCCTCCCAATTCAGGAATCTCTACTAGATCATACATGACAGAGGGCCATCCAATTTCTGCTGATAAACCTCCAAGGAAGGAGAGTCCATCACCTCCCAAGGGAGGTGCAACTCTTAGTGTTGGAAAGTTCTTCTGACGTTTAGTCAGAATCTCCTTTCTTGGAGGTTGGAGCCATTGTTTTGGGTCCTACCCTCCTGAAAACAGTCTTGCTCCATCCTACATGGGACAGCCCTTGAGATATTTGAAGATGGCTATCATAGCTCCTCTCGATCTGCACTTTTCCAGGCTAAACATACCCAATTCCCACAACCGTTCCTCATAAGGCTTGGTTTCCAGACCCTTTATGAATCACTTCCCATAAGATCTCACAGTAAAGGTAAAGGTAAAGGACCCCTGACAGTTAAGTCCAGTCGCGGACGACTCTGGGGTTGCAGCACTCATCTCACTTTACAGGCCGAGGGAGCTGGCGTTTGTCCACAGACAGTTTTTCTGGGTCATGTGTCCAGCATGACTAAGCCACTTCTGGTGAAACCAGAGCAGCGCACAGAAACGCTGTTTGCCTTCCCACCGGAGCGGTACCTATTTATCTACTTGCACTTTGACAGCAATAAAAACAATTCCATATGTAGAAACAATTTCAAATCTGATACAGATACAGACTGGTATTATATACAGTATTATATTTTTTGTGTGTGTATTTATAGACACACACATGCATATACATTCATACACATTCCCGTATATATTAATTTAGGGAAGGATATCAATATTTAAAATGGGAAATGGACGTACAATATTAGGGTGTGATTAATGGTCTGGGTCTTGTAGGTCTAGCAAGCAGCACAGATAACATTTACTCGCAGTCGGATGTGAAGTGTGTCTACATTTACGAGAATCAGAGGTGGAATCCTGTCACTGGATACAGCAGCAGGTACGGGGTGCCAAGGGGCAAACTTCAGAGTGACTCTCTTTGGGGACGTCCATTGGAGTCTACTGGTCTTACCTGGCCGACTCTATTCGTTCTTTTAGTTGTCATTTTTAACATCAAGCAAGCAACCATTTCCATTTGCTCTGCCCACTAGCATCAAAACCTGGTTTTAATTCTGGATTTCGGTCCTTGCAAGATGACTTGCCCACATCTGTGTGCGTTGAACATTTCGGAATAATAATAATAATTTATTTATACCCCTCCCATCTGGCTGGGTTTCCCCAGCTCCTCTGGGCGGCTCCCAACAGTACATTAAAAACACAATAAAACACCAAACATTAAATGCTTCCCTAAACAGAAATGCCTTCAGATGTCTTCTAAAAGTCAGATAGTTGTTTATGTCCTTGACATCTGATGGGAGAGCATTCCACAGGGCGGGCGCCACCACCTAGAAGGCCCTCTGCCTGGTTCCCTGTAGCTTTTCTTCTTGCAGTGCCTGAACTGCCAGAAGGCCCTCGGAGCTGGACCTCAGTGTCTGGTCTGAATGATGGGGGTGGAGATGCTCCTTCAGGTATACTGGGCCGAGGCCGTTTAGGGCTTTAAAGGTCAAGACCAACACTTTGAATTGTGCTTGGAAATGTACTAGGAGCCAATATCGGTCTTTCAGGACCTTTCAGACTCTTAGGTCTGAAAGTTCACCATGCTTGGGAGGCCTAGGAAGTTCTCTGCACTGGGTAAATACTAGATTTCACCACTTGAGGGTGTATTTGCCCAAAACTTTTAGCATGGATGCCGGGACCAGGTGGTTGGGTGGAAGAAAGCATGCCTAGGACTCGCTTTGTGGAAACTGCACGGCTCAATTTTGTTGTCAAGACAAACAAATCTTCTGCTTATATATTTGTCAAGAAATGTAACTTCTGAATAAGATAAATCTGCTTATTGATTTGATGTATTTATATCTTGCCTTTCTTCAAAGTTGGGATTCAAGGTGGCTCAGCAACACTTTAAAGACATCATTATAAAAAACACAGTAATAGAAACTGGTTAAAAACGGTATCTAAAATACAATAAAACACATTTAGAAGTGGCATTAACACCAACCAAGTTGATGGACTATGCCAAAATGGCAAAATTAACTGGGAAGCTCAGGAATCAAGAAGACAAGAAATTTTAAAAAGAATGGAAAATGTTTATAATGTATATACAAAATCATTGTAAACAGGTCAAAACATTAGCAGGATTTTAAATAACACTTGTAACAATGTATAGATAACTTAGGAAGATGAAAAATTGGAGAAGTACTGATATGCAGTTGAAATTAGAATTAAAAGGACCCATGGAAGGGATGAAGGGGAAGTCAGGAGATTCAGAGTAATCTCAATATTTGGATTTCGTACCGTTTTATGTTGTATGTTTATATCCTTGAAAATCAGTAAAAAAGATTATTAGTTTTTAAAAAACCACCAACATAATCTGTGCCTAGTTTTCAAAGGATAGGAAGGTCTTAGACTGCTGGCAGAAGGATGATAATAATCATAATAATTTATTACTTATAACCCACCCATCTGGCTGGGCCTCCCAGCCACTTTGGGCGGCTTCCAACAGAATTGGGAGGGAATTCCACAATCTTGGGGCAGCCACCGAAAAGGCTCTGTCTCATGTCACCACCAACTGTGCCTCCGATGTTTATGAAACCGAGAGAAGGTGGGCTTGGAACTATGTTTCATGCAAGAACTCTCATCGATGACCTTGAAATTGACCACAGCTTCCTTCATTTTGCTGCCACGTAAGGGAGGGCCTGGATTCCAGCTCTGAAAATCACACTGGGAAATAGCAGAGGAGCAGAAGGGAGCCCAGAAGCTCAAGCACCGCTAAACCATGGTTGGATGTTACACATGGACCCAACTCAGCAGAGTCTCAAAGGCTGCTCCCTAATACAGTCATACCTCATGTTGCATCCGCTTCATGTTGTGTCTTTTCACGTTACATCCTGCAGCAACCCAGAAGTATCGGAACGGGTTACTTCCGGGTTTTGCCGCATGCACAGAAGCGCTAAATTGCGCCGTGCGCCTGCGCAGATACAGCACTTTGAGTTGCGGGCATTTCATGTTACGGATGGGCCCCCAGAACGGATCCCAGCCGTAACACGAGGTAACACTGTACTCTGTTATGAAAGGAGGGCATTTCTGGTGTGAAGTGGTTTCTTTTAGGCTGCAACACACAGGACTGAACTCCACTGAACTAACTGAGTCAGCACACAGAAGATCAGGCACTGAGTGTCCTGTGTGTGTTTTGTCTTACAGGGGCCTCCCAACGGATCGGTATATGTGGAGCGATGCCTCCGGCTTGCAGGAGTGTACAAAGACCAACACCAAGCCCCCGTCGCCACAATGGTCTTGGGTAAGCGGACTGGACCTTTCTGGACATTGCCCTGTTGAAAGGATGAACTGACTTGCAGCAATAGATTTCCTAGAGTTGGATCCCTCCCTGTCCCAGCTAGGTGCCTTTGGACAAGTCACAAGCCTGTACACCACGTACAGAGACAGATGATTGATCCACCTATCTCAGTAATGTCTACACTGACTGGTAGCAGCTCTCCAGGGCTTTGGGCAGCGTAGTCTCTCCCTTCCATATTGGGCGATGCTGGGGATTGAACCCGGGACTTCCTGCATGCGAGGCAGATTCTCTACCACTGAGCTACAGCCATTCCCTGGAAGAAAGGTTCATAGAACCATAGAATTTTAGAGCTGGAAGAGACCCCGAGTCATCTAGTCCAAACCTCTGTAAAGCAGGAATCTCAGCTATAGCATCCATGAGAGATGGTCATCCAACCTCTGCTTAAAAATCTCCAAGGAAGGAGATTTCCCCCACCTCTTTGTGAGAGTCTGTTCCACTGTCGAACAGCTCTTACTGATATTTCGTTGGACTCTCCTTTCTTGTAACTTGAATCCATTAGTTCGGGTCCCACCGCTCTATTTGCTGCCTACTCCAGTTTCGAAAAGGATATCGGAAAACCCTGTGTGATAACTAGTTTTTCCCTAAACTAGTTTTTTTTCTTTTTTGCACTGGGAGTTTTTCGTTTGGGGGTGTATGGATAGGATCAGTGTGAGAACCCTTGACTGCTGGTGTAGAACTGCCTTGGCCCACCCCCTCGCCTGTTCCCACCTCCCATTTTTTAATTTCCCACAATTCCCCCAAAGGGCCCAACCATAGCTTTGCTCCAGGTCATTGTGGTGACTTTAACCTGGATGAGTGGCTTCCCAGACCCAACTGCTGCTACTGGAGGAAGCCACCAGGGGGCACCCTGCTAGCTAGAGCTTTCTCAAAATTTATGTTGCTGGTCCTGGATAGGGATCAGATTTCTTCTCCTTCTGAAGTCTTGACTCTCTCTCCACTCAATCCAGGTCTCTGACTGGTACATCGATTTTAGCGTTTCGGGTGGCACTGATCGGGAAGGGTGGCAATACGCAGCTGACTTTCCAGCGTAAGGCTTATTGTTTTCTTTGCTACTGCTAAAGGGTTTGGCTTGCATAAGTTACCTCCCCTGTATCTGCTTATGAAGTCTTAAGAATGGCAACAGGAACAGAAGCTTTGGAGAAAAAACACAGGGGGGAAAATATTAGGTTGTAATCCACCCAAGGTTACTTCCACACCATACATCTAAGGAGTTCTTGTTAGACCTCTGTTGCCCTCACAGAGCAATAGTTCTCAGAGTGGTTTAACAATCTAATCCCTCTTCAGAGGGAACTCGTGAAATTAAAGGCCTGTGAAGGGGAATAAGGGTCTCCTAACAACTCTCAGATGGGACGCGGGTGGCGCTGTGGGTAAAAGCTCAGTGCCTAGGACTTGCCGATCGCATGGTCGGCGGTTCGAATCCCCGCAGCGGGGTGCGCTCCCGTTGCTCAGTCCCAGCGCCTGCCAACCTAGCAGTTCGAAAGCACCCCCGGGTGCAAATAGATAAATAGGTACCACTTTATAGCGGGAAGGTAAACGGCGTTTCTGTGTGCTTCGCTGGCTCGCCAGCGCAGCTTCGTCACGATGGCCACGTGACCCGGAAGTGTCTGCGGACAGCGCTGGCTCCCGGCCTATAGAGTGAGATGAGCGCACAACCCTAGAGTCTGGCAAGACTGGCCCGTACGGGCAGCGGTACCTTTACCTTTACCTTTAACAACTCTCAGCACTCTTAACAAACTACAGCTCCCAGAATTCTTCAGGGGAAGCCATGACCGCTTAAAGCAGTATCATAGTGCTTCAAATGTACAGTATGAATGTTGCCCAAGATTCTCATTTCTGCATTTATTGGGTTAAAATTTATTTTTACCTAACGTTCAGGTGGGGCCTGCTGCTGTCTGGGCACTGCCATTTTCATTTCCCATGATGCCCCCCACACAGTGTTGCTCCAGGGGATTGCGGGAAATTAAAATGGCGTCTCCAAGAATGGCTGTCCACAGGAAGCATTCCAGTGGTGGGAGAATTAAAAAGCTAAATGGAGAAGATTGGTGCTTGTACATTTTGCCTCATAGCTCAGGTTCTACAAATGCTAAAATCTTGCTTTTTAAAAAATTAGGATCTTCTTGGAGGCAGGGGGCAGAGAACAGCCCCCTCGCTCTCTAGACCAGTGTTTCCCAACCTTGGGCCTTCAGCTGTTTTTGAACTACAATTCCCATCATCCCTGACCACTGGTCTTGCTAGCTAGGGATGATGGGAGTTGTAGTCCAAAAACAGCTGGAGGCCCAAGGTTGGGAAACACTGCTCTAGACACCTGTATGTCCAAGTAGCCCAGCACTGATTACAGCACATCCGCTGCTGCTGCTGCCACCAGATTAATCCCACCAAGGCCTCCTTCAAATTTGGAGCTGGACCTCACTGCAGGGTTGTTGTGAAGAGGAAAGGGACCACACTTGACTACCTTGGAGGGAAATGGGGAGGATCAAAGTAAATTCAAAATCTGGTGCTCTTTGTGCCTGTATCAGTTTATGGAACCAACAGCAAGAAGATCTGGATTTGTTTCATTACTCATGTCCCATTAGACTGTACAGAACTCCATAAGCTCCATTTATACGAAAAATAAATCTGGCACCGGGGTGTTGCTTTGCTCTTTAGCAAAAGTTCACTCGTGACAAGTGGCTAACCCCCAACATGGGAGCCTGGTTGGCCCAACAAGCCACCCTTTGTCTGAGAGGAGCGAAGGGCCAGGACCTCTTTATCTTTTTGCCGGTGGACAGCATTAAAAAACAGTGCGTCTCTCCTTCCTGCAGGTCTTATCACGGGCACAAGACAATGAAGGACTTTGTGCGGCGAAGGCGCTGGGCCAGGTAAAGCACATCACACTCAAAAATAGTTTAGGTACCTCTCAGGTATATTGCAGGAGGGGGAAAGAATTTTCCCTTCCTTTGCACGTACATCGGCCTGCTTCCCTTACCACATACTTTGTCAATTTTTAAAACCTGATTCTATTCTATACTGCTTTAAGTATAGTTAACGGCCTTACTACGGAGTTCATTGGCAGCTGTTAAAGGATGGTTCATAAGAATCCATGAATAGCCCTGCCATCCTGTTCTCACAGTGACCAACCAGATCAAAGGTCGGCAAGGCTTACCGAGCATGGGCCGGATCAGTCCCACAGAGATCCTCCGTGGGCCGGACTGGCACAGCGCGATGCCAGAAGTCGCGTCTGCGCATGTCCACGGTGCAGGAATCGCTTCTGTGCATGCCCAGATGCTGAAATTGCACCTGCGCAGAAGCAATTTCCGGCGTCTGGGCATGTGCAAAAGCAATTTCCAGAGCCACAGAAGAGAATACCCGCGCCGCGCTGTGCCGGTTTAGCACAGTGCACGGGGACTTACCAAGCGGGCAGTTCGTGGGCCAGTTAAACAGCTTCCTTGGGCCGCTTCTGGCCCATGGGCCTTAGGTTGCTGACCCCTGGACCAGATGCTTATGGGAAGCTTGCAAACTGGATGCAATGAGTGCTCAACAGCACTCCTGCCCCACTTGCAATTCCCAACAACTCCTATTCAGAGTTATAATGGTGAATACACAATCTCCCTGATCTCTCTGGTCTTGGTGAGTTTCAGTATGAACGGACCCCCAGCCCCTGCCCCCTGGACTAGTGCAAGGATTGGGGCCATCGCTCGCCACCGACCTGGCAAAATGCACCTGGCCATCGAGGGCTTTTAAAGTCAACACCAACACGTTGAATTGTGCTCGGATACATACTGGGAGCCAGTGTAGATCCTTTTGGACCGGCCATCTAGTCTCCACTCAACCTTCCCCCCCCCCCAGCCCAATAAAGCAAAGTAAATGTAGGAGGAACGAGTTGGGTACTTTTTTTATTTCCATGCCAAGCTGGAAGGCATCAGTGCCCTGACTATTCTCTCTGCCCTTTGACCTCCCGACCACCACACAGCGGTGCCCTTATTAGCTTGGCTTTCTAAGTATCTTCTTGTGCTGAACTGCTGTTCATCCAGGCCCAACATTGCATCATGCTCATTTGGCTAATCGGTAAAACACACATGCCTTCGTTAGCTTCTGTAAACCTACAACTTGAATTGCTGCCCACCGCAGTTTTTGGCCTCCCGTTGACTGCAGGTTCAGGTTTTTCTGGCCCCTGAAGCGCCAGTTCCTGGTGTTTAGCAAGGCCCCCTCGGGTCTCAAACCATTGTATATCCTGCAGCTGCAGATGGGGAAAAGAAGGGGTTGTGAGAGCCAGTGTGGTGTAGTGGTTAAGAGCGGTAGACTCGTAATCTGGGGAACCGGGTTCACGTCTTCGCTCCTCCACATGCAGCTGCTGGGTGACCTTGGGCCAGTCACACTTCTTTGAAGTCTCTCAGCCCCACTCACCTCACAGAGTGTTTGTTGTGGGGGAGGAAGGGAAAAGAGAATGTTAGCCGCTTTGAGACTCCTTAAAAGGGAGTGAAAGGCGGGATATCAAATCCAAACTCTTCTTGTTTGGCCCTCGAAGTTTAGCCATGTTCCCCACCTCAATTCCCTGCATCAGGTTTTGAAAGTGTTTGCACCCTGCCACCCACGATCCTTCTCACAGTGCTTCATAGCATCATAAATGTTCATGCATTTGTAAGAAATTGATCTTCAGTATTGTCTGCTCTGGCTGGCAGCAGTCCCAATAATTTCAGGCAGAGAGTCTCTCCCAGAGCTACCTGCAGATGCTGGGGATTGGACCTTGGACTTCCTGCGTGCAAGGCAGGTCCTCTGCCATTGCCCTTTTACTCACCGCCTTTCTCTCTCCCTTGCCTTTCCAGGAAATGCAGATATGTCACCAGTGGTCCTTGGCTGGAAGTCCCCCCAATAGCCCTGTGGGACGTTTCCATCATTCCTGAATCTCTGGCTGCTGAGGACGAGTTTGTGGCTCTCTGGGCTATCAGCGACAAGGGAGATGTGCTTTGTCGACTATGCATCACGCCCCAAAACCCAGCTGTGAGCCTTTTACTTTCTCGTGTGTTTGTGCAAACTGAGCACCTGAAATGAATCTAAATAACATCACTTGTGCACTTTGTTAGTTTGTATGCTCTTGGGTGAGCTCCCGTTGCTCAGTCCCTGCTCCTGCCAACGTGGCAGTTCGAAAGCACGTCAAAGTGCAAGTAGATAAATAGGTACCGCTCCGGCGGGAAGGTAAATGGCGTTTCCGTGTGCTGCTCTGGTTCGCCAGAAGCGGCTTCGTCATGCTGGCCAGATGACCCAGAAGCTGTACGCCGGCTCCCTCGGCCAGTAAAGCAAGATGAGCGCCAGAACCCCAGAGTTGTCCATGACTGGACCTAATGGTCAGGGGTCCCTTTACCTTTACCTTTATGCTCTTCGGTAATCAGTTATAAATGTTGTTTTTTTAATGGGGCATGTTAGGGTCAATCTTCATTTAGTTCAGGCCTGGGGGACCTGTGGCCTTCCAGGTGTTAGGATCGCATCATAGAATTTTAGAGTTGGAAAGGGACAATGGGGGTCTTCTACGTCCAACCTTCTGCAATGCAGGAATCTTTCGCTCAACATGGGTCTTGAACCCACAACCCTGAGATTAAAAGTTTCATGCTTTTCCAGCTGAGCTTGGGCTCCAACTCCCATCAGTCCCAGCCATAACTCCATGCATCTGATAGATGACTGTAGCCCATAAATGCTTCTACTACCAATAAGGTGGCTACCCCCTTGGAAACTGTGTCAGCTGTGCAAGTTTCACTTCAAACATACCTAGGGGGACCCGTGGAGTTTTATCTTCTTGCTAGCTATCCTAGCTATCTTTCTATTCAAGTACCATTTCTATACTCGGAATGCCACCTCTTTTTTGCCATTGTGTTCCATTTAAATCTAATAGACACGACACAAAAGGAAAGGGGGAAGAGGAGGGCCGATGAAAATAAGCGAATCCAGGAGCCAATGCTTAACGTTACACAATTGTAGCAATGGCAAGGTGGAACGACCACTGAAGGGAGGCAGTGATGGGATGGGAGGAGCCATGTGGCAAGTGACCCCCCCACTGAACTTACTAAACAAGGCCTTGCTGTCTTGCCTCTGATGGAGACAGTTCTGGAAAGTGGTGAGGGGTTTGGGGAAAGGAAGGACCCCAGCAGCAGATGGAAGCAGAGCCAACGATGGCCATATCCTTTGTCCCCATTCTCCCACATAGTTTTACAAGGGCAGCACTGAGGCTGAGGAGGAAGCAGAACAGACAGAGCCACCTTCTGGACCCGTTAGAAAGTAGGAAGGCTGAGGTTGGTGAGGCAGTGCCCCATTGCCCTAACTGAGCCCAACCAGGTCAACAAAGGGGGTCTGACTGGGCCCCCTCATCCCCCAGCAGCAGCCTGAGACCACATCTAGCGTTGGAGTTTTGAACTTCACTGCTTGTAGTCAGCCTACCTTGCATCTAGAACCAAATGCGTCTTTGAAGAAGTCCTGTGCATTTTCAGTAGGCCGTTCCAGTCTCAGGACACAGTCATGCAACTTTGCTTGCCCTGGGAATTGCTTTGCAGAAGGGTGAAATCCTCTGTTATTGTTACCTGTCTTAGAAGTTCAGGAACCACTGAGATTGGGTAGCTAGTGCATTCTCTCTCTTCCCCTCCCCTGCCCCCCAATTAGGGAACATCCTGGCTCCACGTGGGAACAGATCAGCCCTTCGTTTCGGTTTCCATCGGAGCATTTCACCAGGTCTGGGCCGTGGCCCGCGATGGCTCCATCTTCTATCGCGGTTCAGTATCGCCAAAGAAACCTGAAGGTAAGCCTGTGGCCACTGGCCACATGTTAATTTTTTTAGTTAACAAAACATAACACCCTGTTTTGATTGAAGTAAAACCTCCAAGTAGTTTGCAAGAAACATTTAAACCACAGTGGTATCTCGTGTTACGTACCGCCCCCCCCCCTTACGAATGCTGCGGGTTATGCACTCCGCTGACCCGGAAGTAGATGCCCCTTGTTTGCGACCTTTGCCCTGGGATGCGAGCGGAAGTCGCGCTCCGGCAGCGCAGCAGCAGTGGGAGGTGCCATTAGAGAAAGCACGTCTCATGTTACGAGCGGTTTCCTGTTTCAAACGGACCTCCGGAATGGATTAAGTACGTAACACGAGGTACCACTGTATTGGCAATACTAAAACGATTAGAAGTATTTTTAAAATATATATATATTATTTTATCAATCAAAACAGTTAAGAGCCATTAAAAACATTTGAAGATAATTAAAATTAACAGTAAAAAGCAGAAAGATTGAAGCACATCAACACCTGCATCCCTGCACCTACAAAATTAGCATGTCCAGGAGAAGAGTTTTAGGCTTGTTTTCCTGTGTGCGTGGACCCAGATCACTTTGCCCTCTCTGGAGTGATGTGGAGAGATGGACCATGGCAAAAAGGTGAATCCACTCTGGGAGCGGGTCCCTCTGGGGGAATCCTGTGCAAGCCCCAGATCTAGAGGCATCACTGAGTATGGTGAAGATAACATGTGATAAGCCAAAGTATAGCTGCCCTATTGGAAAAGGGCCAGAACAGGCCCCCTGCTGTGTTGATTCCTGCATGTGGGTGTTTCTGAAGGTTCTGGGTTTTGCATCACTGACTATAAATCATGCTATAATTATTAGTGTTGTTTCATGGCTGTCTCTGTCATTGTACAGGTGACTGCTGGTACCATATTCCTTCTCCCCCGAAGCAGAAGATAAAGCAAGTCTCTGTTGGACGAACCTCTGTCTTTGTTGTGGATAAAAATGGTGAGCTGCTTGCTTTCTGTTTCCAGAGGGGTGTAGTCCACAGTTATCTTAAATCTGTTGCACCAAAACACAGCCAGGAATCTTATGGCACCTTAAAAGATAAGGGAGCAAGAGGAAGTACATGCAAGTCCCATTGTTGGAACTCTCATTATCTGAAATCTCGGTTATCCAAACACAATGAACCCGAATCTTGCTACACGAACAGCTGATTCAGATATCCAGACATTTGGAGTTTGCCACTTTCTTACTCGTTTGTGTTTTGATGGTCATCCTCAACCATTTCGGAGGGAAACCAGGGAGGGAGGGAGAGAAATCAGACAAATCACGGATTAGAAATGTTCCCATCGGAAATAATGGAAATCATCAGCTCATTATGTGAACATTTGCCTAATGATCAATTTCATGGGAGTGCATGGTGTTCAGAAAGCGGGATCTGTGTGTAATTTTGTTCCCAGCCCAGGGAGTGAGAGCCAGGGGTTTCTGCAGGCATTGGCTGCCAGTGGGAATTTTCTTGCATGCAGCCAATGTTCGCAAAATGCAGGCTTCTTCTCCCCCTTCCCATCAGTTGATGGGAAGGGGGGGGGGGAATAAGACTTTGCCAGCTCAGTGATCAGCACTTCGGGAACCAAAAAAAGTTCACCTCTTCTGCATTACAGGATTGTCTTCCGACTTTTAAAGTATGATGTTCACAAATGCAATAATGGGGCAGATCGTCTCATGTCCATGCCACATGTCCATGCCAAACTTTTCCTTTTGTAGGTAATCTGTGGTATCGCCAGGGAATCACACCAAGCTACCCTCAAGGCTCCAGCTGGGACCACATTTCAAACAACGTCCGCAAAGTGTCCGTTGGGCCTTTGGACCAGGTCTGAGTGCGCCGTCAATGTATCTCTTTGGAACGATGATTGAAGGGGACACGATAAACTTGTTTTGTAAAGGATTGTTCACTAAGGTTGTTTATTTACCTTAAGGAAAGGGCACAGACCAACCTGGTCTGTGGTGACTAGTCCCTATAGTAAGACAGGGAGGTCCAACAGTAGGTGGCGCCAGAGCCAATGACGGGCAGAGCTAACTCATTCTGGTTTTGCCCCCATCCTCTTCCTTGCTGAGTTCTACAAGGGCAGCACTAAGGAGGATGAAGGTGACAGCCAGGGCCCACCCCCTGGGCTGATAAGTAGCCAGGTGGGGGCCAACTGAGAGCAGCCTGAGGTTGGTGGGGCAGTGGCACACTTAATAATAATAAATTTATTATTTATATGCTGACCATCTGACTGGGTTGCCCCAGGCACTCTGGGCGGCTTCCAGCAAAATATAACAACACCATCAAACATTAAAAGCTTCCCTATACAGGGCTGCCTTCAGATGTCCTCCAAAAGTCAGATAGCTGTTTATTTCCTTGGCATCTATCGGGAGGTCGTTCCACAGGGCAGGTGCCGCTACCGAGAAGGCCCTCTGGCTGGTTCCCTGTAATCTCACTTCTTGCAGGGAGGGAACCACCAGACTTAACTCTCATGGACCAGCTTCCACTGATCCTGGCCCAGCCTTTGAGAGAGAGAGAAGGAAAGAAAAGGGGGTTGTGGAAAATTGTAGTGTGGCTCCTTCCACTTCTTTTTGCCAGTTTTCGCAAGTAATAAAGCAAGATTTAATTGCTTGGTGCTTCTCATTCATTCTGCTCTGATGTGACATTGGAATGGTCCCCATGATCTGATACATCTACATCAGAGTGCATCTGTTTGGTGCCCGCCAGATCTTTTGGACTGCAATTCCCATCAGCTCCAACCAGCATGGAGAGTGGTCAGAAATGAGGGGAGCAGAGGTGGTTTTAGGGTAGGGCGAATGGTCCATTCGGACTGGGCGCCACACTGAAAAATGCTGTAGAATGGAATGAGAGAGGCGAACCTTTGTGTCGCACAGGGCGCTGCTGAAATTTGGGATGGGAGTTGTAGTCCAACAACATCTGGAAGGCCAGAGTTTCCCCATTCCCAGTTTAAAGCCACTTCACATTTTCAACCCAGCCTGAACGGAGATCCATTGCGTTTGCAACATGCGAGTTTTTGTCTTCTCTTTCTGTTTGCATGTTTTGGAAGCTGGCTGCAACTTGCCAACTCCCAAGCTGCAGCCAGAATGAAAAACCTGTCCACATGCATAGCTGACTGCACCTGAGAAGCATGTAAATTGCTACATGGACGTGTCCTCCTTTTGCACAGGGATTTTGGTGATGGGAAAAGCACCCCCCTTGGTTGGTTGTTTTTAGTATTGGTAATCAATAGTGTAGGAAGAAATAACATGGTGTGCGTGGCATCATCAGCCCTATTCCTGTTTTCTAGGTCTGGGTGATAGCTGACAAAGTACAAGGGAGCCATAGCTTGAGCTGTGGAACGGTCTGTCATCGGACGGGAGTCCAGCCAATGGAGCCAAAAGGCCAATCCTGGGACTACGGCATTGGGGTGAGTACCTTCAACGGCACAGGACCACAGTTCCTCAAGGATCGCCTCTCTCCATATGAAGCTACCCAGACCCCGGGATCAACTTCTGAGGCCCTTCTGAGAGCCAGTGTTGTGTAGTGGTTAAGAGCGGTAGATCCGTAATCTGGGGAACTGGGTTCGCTTCTCCACTCCTCCACATGCAGCTGCTGGGTGACCTTGGGCCAGTCATACTTCTCTGAAGTCTCTCAGCCCCACTCACCTCACAGAGTGTTTGTTGTGGGGGAGGAAGGGAAAGGAGATTGTTAGCCCCTTTGAGACTCCTTAGGGTAGTGATAAAGCGGGATATCAAATCCAAACTCTCTTCTTCTTCTTCTTTGTGTTGCTCCTCCACAAGAGGTCTGGAGGGTGGCAACCCAAGAACCTTTTCTGCAGTGGTTCCCGGTTGGAGAAAGCTCTCCCCAGTGAGGCTCGCCTGGCGCCTTCATTATACACCTTTAGGCACCAGGCTAAAATGGTCCTGTTCAGCCAGGTCTTTGGTTGATGGACATCCAATGGCCTTTTAAATGTGTTGTGGAAGTGGGGGCGATTGGTTTGTTTCTGTTCTCATTTCTGTTACGGATATTGCGAGTTTTTTTACATTCTAATTTTATGTTGTGATCAGCCCTAAGATCTACAGCAGCGGTCAGCAAACTTTTTCAGACCTTGTGGGGGGCCGGACTATATTTTGAAAAAATAATAAAAATGAACGAATTCCTATGCCCCACAAATAACCCAGAGATGCATTTTAAATAAAAGGACACATCTACTCATGTAAAAATGCGCTGATTCCCGGACCGTCCGCAGGCTGGATTTAGAAGGCGATTGGGCCGGATCTGGCCCCTGGGCCTTAGTTTGCCTACCCATGATCTACAGGGGCTGTACACTACTAGAAATACTACTACTAATAATAATAAAAGACACAAACAGCTGGAATTTGTTAGGGCCTGCTGATTTTCCGGGCACCATTTGGAGAAAATTTGTAAGCAGAGCCGGGTAGAACAGCCACATGTATGGTTGGCAGGTGCCTAGACTGTATACACACACACACACACACACACACCCTACACCCTACACCCTACGCCAAGGGTTGCCAGTATGGTGACTACAGGTACACACATGCCCACAAAAACATTCCCCTGGTGTCCGCAGGATCTTCTCTACGTGCTGAAATTAGGACTGAAAGAATCATTCCATTATAGCAAAAGAGCAGGTTGCTTGACTACAAGTATATATATATATATAAATTTTAATGAACTTTCTGTTTTACAATTTAGAATATTCATTTAGACAACCTTAAAATATCAGTGACTTCCCTCCTTCTCTTTCCATGCTTCATTTTGCATAGCATAAATCCCTGCCTATTTTATATAAACTAAAACATTCAATATTCCCATTATTACTTCCATCAAAACTAATTTGCACTGTTGAATTTATCTTAATGCTGCCGGCGTTTTCAAGTGTATACAATTCCCCCCCATATATTCAGTAAACATTTTCCAATCTTCTTTAAACGAATGTTCTTCTTTGTTCTCTTATTCTATAAGTTAGATCCGCAAGCTGAGCATATTCCATCACTTTTAAGTTGCCATTCTTCTTTGGTTGGGACCTCGCTCATTTTCCGGATATTTTCCCTGGCTTGTAAATCTTCCCATGGGTCCATTTACAAGAGAAAAGGGTGCTGGACTTAAGTGGGCCATTGGCCTTTATCCAGGAAGGCTCTTCTTGTATTCTTAAAGAGGCTTTACTTGTCCATGTCGGGTAGCTGTTGCACAGCAGACTCTTCTCCAAACATGTGGCTGATTTTTCCCTTTTCCTCTTTGGCAGGGAGGATGGGAGCACATCACAGTAAGAGCGAACGCCATGGAGAGCACCAAGGCCGTAGCCCAGGAAGCCTCTACAGGGCGTCCCACTGAGCCCAACGAAACTGAAACTGGAGAGAGCGAAGGAAGAGGAGACCCTCCCCAAAACACCGTCTTGGTGGACACGGCTCAGGGCTTGGACCGGCACGCTGTGCAATGTTAATGCGCTCCATTCTCTAGAGACGTGGGTGTAGGATTTTGCTTCCTCTCCACTCACTTCACGCACTCCCAATCGGTGTACAGTTTCAGTGGATCTGTGCCTGTTTCTGAACACTTTAGTTTTGCCCGGACGGAAGAGGGAGTTGTGTGTTCGTGAAGGCTTAAGGAGTCCAAATCTGCCTAGTTCTGTGGTTGGTTGTAGACCTTTTGTTTATTTCAGTGGGTTTTGGGAGACTATAATAGAAGACCCCCCCCCCATGCAAGCCCCCCCTTGAAACACTGAGGAGTTTGCACAGCCACAAGCCTCTGCAGATCAGAACCATGGATCCAGGGAATCAAACCTGGTCCTCTCTGATTGCTGCGGGACTCCAGCTCCCATCAGTCAACATAGCCAATGGTTGGTGGTGATGGGAGCTGTAGTCTAACAACAACAAGAGCAGGACAGTCCCAACTTTCCGTCCTTTAGATGCGTTGTTCATTAGAACTGGATTTTTCTAAGTGAACCTTTTTTATGTTTGTTTTTGTGGGAGGGCGTTGTTGTTGGGTCTTTTTTGTAATTAATTTATTCTCTTCGTAATATTTATTATGCACAGCACTGCCGAATAGGCTACGGTGATGCCAGATCTTCCCAATTAAGCTGAGCCCTTTTTTTAGGCAGCTGCTATGAAAACTGAGACGAATGTAAATAGGACTCGTGACGTCCTGGTTCCCCCCACCCCCTTTTCATCAAACCTGTGAAATGATGATCCCACTAATTTCATTGGATCTGCTGTGTGAGGTCAAGTTCTTGACCGGTGAGAATCCCTCTCCCTTTTCGGAGGTGATTTGCCGAAACTGAAACTCTTAGGATTAATCCTGTGTAATGTGCTACTGCTTTCTTCTTTCCTTTTGCAGTACCAGTTAGATCTGCTCTAAAATAGTAGCGAAACAAAGTTAAGTCAGCAGCACTGGTCGGCAACTGGCTGCCTCGTGTCAGTTGGCGCCCATGAAATATCACCAGCACGTCTTCTAACAACTGCAAGTGGGGCAAGCCAATAGAAAGCACATTGGATGCTCCTGCACCTTACAGCTCCTTGCCACCACTCACCCACTTTAGATAGTGCCAACCTGGCACCCTCCAGATATAGTCCAATAACATATGGAGGTCACCATATTGTTGAAGGCTTGGATGGTGTAACCTGGCTTGTAATTGAGGCAGAGAGCCAAAGCAGCCTGACTCCTTGCCCCTTTTGAATTGCCCTGCCAGCCAATCTAGTTGCTGATCACAATCACTCACCTGTCTTTCGATTTTGGAGGTCAGGCTGGTCTGTAATTGCAGGGGGAAGAGGAAGGTATATTACAGGAGTGAGGAACCTGTGGCTCTCCAGCTGTTGCTGAACTACAGCTCACCTTAGCCCCAGCGAGCTTGGCCCAGGGATGATGGGAGTTGTAGTTCAGCAACATCTGGTTGGGCCAAAGGTTGCCAACACTTGGTTTACTGCCTTCTTTTTTAAAAGAAAAAAAGGACATTTCCTCGTGTATGCAGTTTAATAAAAGAAAAATGTAGATCAGCTGATAACAACAAATATCGACACAACTTCACTTCTTAAAGCATTAGTCACTTGCACCAGGTGTGGATAAACTTGGAGCGTTCTTGTTCTTTGCTGCTTATTTTATCTCTAGCTCTTCTCAAGATGCACTTTAAAATTAGACCTTCCTTTTCGGAGAGATAAAAGATGCACGCTTTGTTCCTTGTTTGCTGTTGCAGCAAAGCAGTTTGCAGGAGCCGTTTGGGCATGAACCGTTGCGCTGCCACTCCATTTAGTGCTCCCAGTCCAGGTTTGATATTTCGTAGAGCTTGGGAGATATGTATTGCCACGAGTGAGGGATCTTGCCAGCCGCATAGGGCACCCCACAGAATCATCTACAGTTGCCCCTAGAGCAGAACGTGTTTTACTAATTTCTGCTTGATCCGGACAATCAGTTCCATGTTCTGCTGGGCCCTAAATCGGTGCTGGTAGAAGCCTTCCTAGACTATACCAGTTCAGAATGCAGGAGTGGGGTGTATGTGACCAGGATATGTTTTTTTAAAAATGGCACATTTAGAGAGACAGACCTATATCCTCACTTCCCACGATGGCATTTCTGACATGTTGGAGCCTTTCAAAGCAAACCTACGATTGCCTCCATGCATATGCCAAAGTGGTGCAGTTGAGGTGCAGCTGCGCCATGCAATATTTTTGATGTATGGTTCAACACGGACAGCCCAATCTTGTGTTTGCTAAAAGGGTCTCGCGGGGGCTTCTTCATTAAGGCTTCTTCCAACGCGTGGCTGCCCTGGGCTACATGCTGAATGCAAGTCAGAATCGAAAGCAGGAAAATGATCAAGAGTTCACTACTGGGACTTTGCAGGCTGCAACTCTTGTACTTTTTCTTTTTTAGAAAAAACAAACACACAAGAACTGTGTGGCTAAGAATGTGGAAGGCACAGATTTTCCCCATCACAGAAGCCTCATCAGAGCAACTATTAAAGGCACAGCAGCCTTGATCAGAAAAGGAGCTGTTTGCTGGACATCTGAGCCAGGTGGCCTACAACTCCCATGATCCCTAGCTAGCAGGACCAGTGGCCAGGGATGATGGGAATTGTAGTCTCAAAACATCTGGATGGCCGAGGTTGAGGAAGCCTGGTCTAGAACAGTGTTTCCCAACCTTGTGCCTCCAGCTGTTTTTGGCCTACAATTCCCATCATCCCTTGCCACTGGTCTTGCTAGTCAGGGATGATGGGAGTTGTAGGCCAAAAACATCTGGAGGCACAAGGTTGGGAAACACTGGTCTAGAAGAATGTAATAGCTGTGAGAGGTTGATGGGTGGGCATCTGAGTTGAAAACTATGCCTTCCAATTATCTCAGGAGTGGGAAACCTTTCGACCCTGCAGATGTTGCCGAATTGCGACTCCCATCACCCCCTTTGACATGGGCCATGCTTGTTGGAGCTGATGGGAGTTGTAGTTCAGCAACACAGGGAGCGGCAAAGGTTCCCTGCGCCTGAATTACTAGGCCAGTGGATTTAAGCTGGTCTAAGAAAAGACCTTGGTTTAAGAGAGAGGTGCGTTGCTGAAGGGCCTATTCTGCACCGTAGGAATCCTGGGATTAATTTCATTGACTCCATCGGTCTGAGCCAGGAGAACAGTTTGTGAGGGTGAGGTTTACGCTCTGCGTCTTTCTCGGTCCCGTGTGATGGCATGCGGAGAGGGAGGAAAATTGCACTGTGGCATGGTTTTAGAGCAATTCTATATTTGAAGTAAAATCAGTTAATGTCGCATGTCCTTCCATTTTAGAGAGCTTCTATATGTAAACGTATTTGATGCCAAGTAAAAAAAAAAGCGACGTTTCACAATCAAAGGTGAAGACTGCAGCCTGCCTCTTTCTTTCTCTCGTGTTCTTGTCAACCTTTCCCACTTTGGAGCAGTGTTATTTTTGATAGCCCCCCACTCCAGTTTGGGGTGGGATCCAAAGTTGTTTTTTTTATGGTGTTGCTTTAGCCCTATGGTGGTTGTTTTTTCGCTCTGCGGTTATAAAGAGATATCTATGGCAATTGCACGAATCTCCAGTTAACATGATGCGTTTAGATCAGCGGTGGGAAACCTCACATGCGGCCCTCGAGACCTCTCCAACTGGCCCTCACAACTCTCCTGAACCCCTCACTACCCCTCCCTTTGCACCCTGAGTGTTTTTGGCCTGGCTTGAACTTTGATAACGCCTCTTGCCTGTGTGATGGAAGACAGAGAGGGGAGGGTGTTGAAACTGGGCCTACAGTACCGAGACAGAATCTGCCCTCTGCCCATTTTTGCCTCTGGCCCAGTTGCTGGGAATTGATCGATTATTTATGTACAGTGGAACCTCTGTTTTCGAACGTAAGCCGTTCCGGAAGTCCGTTCGACTTCTAAAACATTAAAAAACCAAGGATCAAAGGCCCTTCAGCAAGTTCAATGGGGAAAATTGAGAAACACGCCTCGGAAACTGTTCAACTTCCGAGGCGCATTTGAAAACAGAAGCATTCAGTTCCAGGTTTTCGGCGTTCGGCTTCCGAAACATTAGGCAGCCGGGGCGTTCAAAAACCAAGGTTTGACTGTATTGGATTTCTGTATATTCCGCCTTTCTGTCAAGGCACCTAAGGCAGTTTACAGTTTGAAATCAATAGAAACAAATACCTTATTTTTCCTTGTATAACATGCCCCCAAGTATAAGACGCCGCCTATTTTTGGGCACTCAAAATTAAGAAATTGGGGGGAGATTGCCCCCATGTATAAGACTATCCCTCCTTTTTTTAACATTATTTTTTAGTAAAAAAAAAAGTATGCTACATTATATATGAGTGACAGGCAGTGTCCTTTCAGGTTCCCCAGAATACTGTCATACCTCGGGTTACAGACACTTCAGGTTGTGTTTTTTCGGGTTACGGACCCGCTGAAACCCAGAAGTACCAGAACGGGTTACTTCCGGGTTTCGGGGGTCGCGCATGCGCAGAAGTGCTAAATCGCGCTTTGCGCATGCACACAAGCGCCAAATCGCAACCCGTACATGCACAGACGCACCGCTGCGGGTTGCGAACGTGCATCCCGCATGGATCACGTTCACAAACGGAGCGTCCACTGTAGTTTGGAAAAGTCCTCTTCATATTTATTTATTTTTAATTGGCACTCTGGCGTTCTTTAATTGCATAAATACTTTCCCTCCAAAGTTGGCGTTCTTAAAAGTAACCCAATCTCAGAATGCCAACTTCCCCTCCAGCGTTTTTCTCCCTCCAGTGCCATTAAGAAGCAGAGCCTAACAAAGGCAGAGCTGATATTTACTCAGGGTAGGTATACACTTTAAGCAGTACGCTCTGTACCACTTGCTAAACTGTTAGTCTAGTGATCCCTTTGCCAAAAGCATTAATAACTTTGTCTTCCCCCTGCACAAGGACACTGTTATAAAGTAGGTAAAGTGATATCTTTTTTTCCCCTTCCTTTTTGGTTCTCTCGGGTTAAATTCCTGCCTGTGAGAATGAGTCAATTGCTCAAGTTTCACAAAGCTGTATTTTTTTAAATTATTTTTTTAAAGGAAAGAATGTCTATATTTTGTGAAAGGTAAGCTTTGGAAACCAACCTTCAAGCTAGACTTGCGGGTACTGAGTTCGAGTGCCATGTCCGCTCTCGACTCCATATTGACTATGCTTGCCTTAGTGTATGCCCAAAGATCTGTTGCACATAGCAGAATTTGCTCACCATTCTTTTTGAAAATGAAGCGCTTTGGTTTTCAGTGTTCCTAATGCTTAAAGGTAAAGGGACCCCTGACCATTAGGTCCAGTCACAGCCAACTCTGGGGTTGTGGCGCTCATCTCGCTTTACTGGCCGAGGGAGCCAGCGTACAGCTTCCGGGTCATGTGGTCAGCATGACTAAGCCGCTTCTGGCGAACCAGGGCAGCGCACGGAAATGCCGTTTGCCTTCCCGCCGGAGCGGTACCTATTTATCTACTTGCACTTTGACGTGCTTTCGAACTGCTAGGTTGGCAGGAGCAGGGACCGAGCAACGGGAGCTCACCCCGTTGCGGGGATTTGAACCGCCGACCTTCTGATCGGCAAGTCATAGGCTCTGTGGTTTACCCACAGCGCCAGCCCTTCCCTGTGATCCTGGCCACTACACCTCTGTTGACCACGCATTAGCCTGCCACAGAGCTACTTCCACCCTGTGGATTACAGTGGATGGCAACCACACCTTTGCATAAGCTTACAAGGGCTATGCATGTACAGAGGATATAAGCGAGATGCAAACACAGCCACATGCTTCCAGGGAAAGCCTTTTAAAATGACCCAGACCATCAATCGAGCAAAAGCGAGACAAACGTTGCAAATCTGTGGGCACGACTTCTCAGATACAGACTTCCATTGACTTCAGTGGGGCTGGTCGAGTCCCGAGAAAGTCCTATTGAAAGCAACAGAAAGGAATTCCTTAGCTGCTGCTCGGCGGTTTAATGTTCTGTCACATCCAGTTAGACATTAGCTCTGGCTTTCTCTCTCTCTCTCTCTCTCTCTCTCTCTCTCTCTCTCTCTCTCTCTCTCTCTCTCTCCTTGGCTTGTGTCCAGAGTTATGTTAGCCAATCAGATGTGACATTTGAACTTAAAATGCCACTCGAATACAATCCAGGGTTCTGTATGTGCGTGAATATAGACGAGAGATTGTCTATAGGAAAGGATCAAACACTTGGTGGCAGATCAAGTTCCCTGCAGATCCTATTAAAACCATTTTGCCCGCAGTGAGGGCTGCATTGTTCATGCTCATTTTGCAGCCTAATAGCCCTTTTCCTGTTCTTCCTAAATGATGCAGATGATTTGACTTTTAGCAAAGGTGCCTTTGCCATAATCTCTTGGGAGCAAACAATGGTGACCTTTCTCAACAATTCTTCCTGCTGTTCTTTCTCTCTTGCCTGTTGTGTGTGTGTGTGTGTGTGTGTGTGTGTGTGTGTGTGTGTTTGGTCTTCTGCAGCAGCAGAAGTAATTTTCGAGCCACAGTTACCAATGTAGTGCCTCTAGAAGTTGTTCTACTACTGCAACCCCCATCCAGTAGTGTAGTGGCAAATTCAGGGTCCCTTTGTGCAAGTTACAGCCCTGCCCCTTCTAAGGGTATGCAAGAATTCTATAATTATACAAAAGTGATAATTAGGGGTGCATTGCAACAACCAATGCAGATCTCCATGTGTTGCCTGTCCACTAGGTCTACTATGTTCCCTGCACGTACTTGGCCAAATGATCTGGAGTGCTCTGACATCTTCTTTCGGAATGACTTACGGTGTGTTTTGCATGAAGGTCCATTGTTCATAACAGAACTTGCACACTATTCTCTTGGAATGGAAATGCCCTGTGTTTTCAGTATTCCTAAATGTTTAGCATTCAAGCATATATAGTGGTGCCTCGGGTTACATCCGCTTCAGGTTACATACGCTTCAGGTTACAGACTCCGTTAACCCAGAAATAGTACCTCGGGTTAAGAACTTTGCTTCAGGATGAGAACAGAAATCGTGCTCTGGCGGCGCGGCAGCAGCAGGAGGCCCCATTAGCTCAAGTTGTGCTTCAGGTTAAGAACAGTTTCAGGTTAAGAACGGACCTCCGGAACGAATTAAGTACTTAACCCGAGGTACCACTGTAGAAACAACAATTCTTTGGTGTTTTTGTTAGAATTCCTGCTCCGTGATTGCAGTCATGGGATTTTTGTCTATCACATGGCGGTGTATGTTTTGACTTCACAGAGTTGGAAGTGATGGAGACCAGGATGTTTGTGTTACTGTGTTCCGTGAAGTGGGACTATTGTCCTTTGTTCTTTCTCTTTGCTGTCTGATGCTAAAGAGCGAGGGAACCATGTTGCAGTGCTCCGTGTGTGTTTATATGTAAATAAAGTAGAGAAGAGAAGACTCCCTGGAAAAGACCCTGATGCTGGGAAAGGAGAAGGGGATGACAGAGGATGGGATGGTTGGATGTTCTCGAAGCTACCAGCATGAGTTTGACCAAACTGCGGGACGCAGTGGAAGACAGGAGTGCCTGGCATGCTCTGGTCCATGGGGTCACGAAGAGTCAGACACGACTAAATGACTAAACAACAACAAAAGTAGATTAGCCAAAATGCTGAGTTGCTGAGGTCCGTTAC